ACGATGTCACGACTAATCACTAGTATTTGAATAAAAAAATTGTATTTGATTTTTCTATTTATAAATATTTTTGTTCTTCAGAATTTGTTCGAAGTTAGAAAGAAACGTAACCTGCAATAACCTAGGGCTGAATTTTGGAAGTTTCACTTTCAAAGAGTGAAAATCTTGGAGTTCTCAAAGAAAGCTCTAAAAGTTTTAAACTTTGATAAACAATTTAAAGTCAAAACCACCTACCTAATTTTATCAAATAGCTATGTACCTACTTACAGAAGTCTACGGGTAATTGTCTAACTACGCACTAAAATGAGAGTGTATAGGAAAAGAGATATTTAATTTAACTACAGTATTGATTGTCTGCATTATTAACTAGATACCTATGTAGTGAAATTGTATCCGCGGCTTTCCTCGCGTGTGAGTACATTATTTATTAAGACTAAATTGATATCAAGAACCTACCAATTAATTGAATTTAATTTATTAAGTACTAAATCTGAGTTTTATTGTTTTGTTATTTTGTGAATTCGCTTGGAAGGCTGGTTGATTGTTCCTAACTTTTTTTTAATTGCCTCTGATTTCTCATATTACGAGCCAAATAAACGATTAGTAAGATTTTCCGGAAATTAAATTATTCACCAATATTTGTAGAGATTTTTACGGCGCCTGATTCTAAGCTAATCCATTTGTCAATTTATATTAAATGATGAATTCTATTTTTATCAAAGTATAAAAATAAAGATCAGACCGGGTACCCCCAAAATCTCTTTATCTCTCATGAAAATATTTTTTTTTTTTAGATTATATTTATTGCTTCCATAAAAGCAACAATGTCATTTAGTTTTCATACCACTTTAAACTTTCTGATGCAGATGTGGTTACATTATTATTTATGATCTAAGATAACTTGTGCCATTACATTACACGAAAGTTATCAAATAAAGGTGTAAATCGTTTACTTAAATTACGTTGAATTTAACTTAACAATATTAAAATGTGAAGCAAAGTATGTGATATAATATTGTATATTTACATGAATTTTCAAAAAACATTCGTTAGTATATTATCCAGGTGATAGCAAGGCATGACAATCAGAAGTTCTTTTTAGTAAACACTAAAGTCTATACAAGTCAAACTCGTGATAGATGAGATGGAAATCTTCGCTTCAATAGATTTCATTATAAGTAATAAAAAGTTCGTCTGTCTTCGTTCGTTCAGAACTTTCAATAACAACGTGCTTGCTGTCTCCGAGTGGCCCCGTTGTCTGTAATGACGACATTTAACTCTGAATACCTATTTCCATTTTGGTCGACAAAATATGAGAAGCGAAGAGCTAGCGACCATGGGCACTACACGTAATCCGTAACATTCCGGATAATGTTGTTACCATTTTTAATTTATCAATCTTTATGTATTTAAAATATGTATAATAATTGAAATAAACTTTTTTATGCAACTTAGAATGGCAAACAAGCTGATGGCCCACCTGATGGAGAGTGGTAACCATCGCCTATAGACATGAGCAGTATCATGGACATAACAAAGTATACTGTTTCGCTCATAATACCTCCAATGCGTCGCCATTCTTGAAGACTTAGGTGTTATTTTTCTGTAACCTGTAAATTCACTGCCATATCGCACCCTTCGAAACACAGCCATGCAAACACAATTGCTTCACGGTAGAAACACGAATGGGACAGATGTGCCCAAGCAAACGACTTTTGTACAAAGTATTTCCTTGGTAACTATTAAAACTATTATAGACATTTGAGGTTTTCACATTTGCGATATTCAATTACTCTATCCACACTAATACCTGTTAACATTTTTATAGCATTTGTAAAAAATGTAGTTTGCGCTGAACTCATAAGGTCTAAAATTAATAAATACTCAGACCTTTAAACAAACTTACGTGTCTTTATTTGGATAACTGCGACACACATGGTAAAAATATATTTTGGTATTTTATCCTTTGTGTTTTATTTTTATAATTATGTAATTTATTTGATTGTATTAATTCAATTATTAATTTACGTATATCATAAATTACTCAAAATATTTACCTATCTATTTATCTTTATGCAATACATGCGCTCAATGCTACGTAGATCATGTCATTATTTTTCTACACAATTTATCTACTTAGATTTGTTTAGCACTAATTGCTTCAGTGACGTCGCTTGCCAACACTATTAGCAGAATGTTGTAACTGAGTGAAGGGTACTCAGTCAAACGAAAACTGTGATCAGTGCATTGAGTCGCACTTTACATAGGAAACAGGGCTCTGCTTTGATCGCAAGCGACCACTCGGATAATTTCTGGCATTATACGTCGTATCTTGCTTCGGATTACATTTCTATAAGAACAAAGGGCAAACTGATGAACTGAAATCAATAATACTATTTACAACGACTCTTTGACCAAAATTATTTAAATTAATCATAATGAAATAAGTAAAAAATATTTTAATATATAATAAGTATATTTTAATAAGTATATTATTTTCTGGGGCATATGTACCTTTTTTTCTGTAGGTTACAGGACGGGGTATGTTTGTGTGAAAACAACTAAAAGTATATTTTATTTATTTGTATATATTATACACTCCTCGCAAAAATTAAGGGAACATAAAATTTTTTGAAATTTTTGGGTGATTTTCAACAGGCTGTATTTCAGTGAAAAATAATCGTACAGGAAATTTAAAAAAAGGGTTTTGAAGCTTGAAAACTCTAGTTTTCAGATTTTTTGGTGAAAAAATTTTTTGAGCTCCGGTTTCCATGCAATTCTTAAACAAAGCTGAAAATAATTTTTTTCTAAATTTTCTAGGTTTCGTTTTTCACTCTATGGGCATGGAAAAATTTTTTCGATCTACTCCATTGTATAGGTCTCTTAGCGTGTTTATTCAGCTTCAAAAATCGCTTTGGATGGCTCAATTACGACCATTTGTCTCCGAGATATCGAACTTTGAATGCAAAAGCATCCTTTTCCATTCAACTGCTAATATCTCTGGAACTACTGGTAGCACAGCAAGCGGGCGCCGAGTTTCTTTATCTGCATAAAATTTTCTTGATTTTTTTCGATTTTTTTTGATAATGAATTTTTAAAAAACAAAAAATTGAGTAAAAAGTGAGAAACAAATGAAATTATTGATTTTTGAATGGATTAGGGTGAGTTTAAGGGACAAAAACCTTGTTCCCTTATTTTTTCCAAAATTTCAATCAATTGGTCCGGGAAAAACCGTTGAACCGATCGCTCCAGGGATTTAGGGGGTTCTTAAAGGAACAATAGACTATAAAATTTTCCTCAAACCTTAGCTTTCCCGCCCATATTAGCGAAGATACAGCCAAGTAACCAAAAAAGGAGAAAAAGTCTTTTTTTTCCACTTTTTTCAATTCAATGTTAGAGGTGGAAAAAAATTTTTTCTTCACTAACTCTTGACTGTGCTTAATTGGAAATTTTATGCAGATAAAGAAGCTCGGCGCCCGCTTGCTGTGTGACCAGTAGTTCCAGAGATATTAGCAGTTGAATGGAAAAGAATGCTTTTGCATTCAAAGTTCGATATCTCGGAGACAAATGGTCGTAATTGAGCCATCCAAAGCGATTTTTGAAGCTGAATAAACACGCTAAGAGACCTATACAATGGAGTAGCTCGAAAAAATTTTTCTATGCCCATAGAGTGAAAAACGAAACCTAGAAAATTTAGAAAAAAATTATTTTCAGCTTTGTTTAAGAATTGCATGAAAACCGGAGCTCAAAAAATTTTTTTACCAAAAAATCTGAAAACTAGAGTTTTCAAGCTTCAAAATCCTTTTTTTAAATTTTCTGTACGATTATTTTTCACTGAAATACAGCCTGTTGAAAATCACCCAAAAATTTCAAAAATTTTTATGTTCCCTTAATTTTTGCGAGGAGTGTATATAAAAGTGTCACAACATTGTACACCGCTTTGCCCGCTGACATTGTTGCTCCTTTCCATCATAGCTCTGCTAGAAGAGAACTCTTTTCGAGTAAGCTCGCCTTTGTACATTTGCTTTTCTCTGTCATATTTTTATGTAGTATTAGTGTGTACAATAAAGTATAAATAAATAAAATAATTTTTAAAAAATCGATGCGTAATTGAATGACGATACGATGAACTATTTGTGTAAAATATAATTTGTGGATTCATGACTATTTAATGAATGTTTTTTTTTTTTTAAATTAGCTCCAAATTATCATCAGAAAAGGTTTCTTATGTTCAGCTATTATAATAATTTATAATAATGAATCCCTTTCTAGGTATTATCTGTTTAGGAACGTATTTCGTCATTCATATTCCTAATGCGTGCCTGACACATTTGAATAGTTTATTCTATGGATTTATTATGATGATGATAGTATCCAACTTTTCTCTATGTTATCGTGGTCGTTTTTATTCTTTTTATATAATAAAATTCTATTTACTTTGTCAATTATATTATTTTTATATTATATAAATATATTTAGAAATCAAGTCTATGAATACAATTAATATGCTGTTTCTTTTATTTACAGAATCAACATTCCTGTACGAAGAGTCATCTACAGTTTTCAGGGACTAAGAAGCAGTTCAACAATGGAAAACCAGTAGTTTTAACACATTATTTTTTCCTAATAATGAAGAGATGTTCGTGACTGCGATAACTTTTTTTTTATATTTATTTATATGTCAACATTCATGTCCTTGTAGCAAATTGAAAGAGACCTGCAGTTGTATACGCGGCTACCGCAATCGTATCTTTTCTCATAAGCCCAAACCTCTTTGTCGTACTGGTCGGGCATATGCGACAAGAGCGGGCGCGCAGCCTGCAGCCAAGGCGACCACCGCGTACACTCTGCTTTTCCGATATTTACATTCCCTTATCGCAGACGCTACATCAAAGATGGGTCATTTCGTTGTAGGTAGGCTTATTAGGATTTGGTTAGAAGGCGATAACACAAATGTGATAGTTTATCGCCATTCTGACAACCAAAATAGTCTTTTTTAATGTGACTCTGTGGCGAAAACTGCAAGAATTGCCTGTTCTTATGTAACAGGTGAAACCCTAAATGGGCAACGGCTGATCGAGTTCCGGCTCGGGCCGGAGGCCGACTCGGAGCAGGGCGAGGGGTTGTCTGTCGCATCCGCCGAATTAATGGTGCGCGCAGAGACATCCCCTCGCGCTCGCCGTCTACGCTACACTCTGTGGGCGTTCACCGTCAATGGTAACGCCAGTGTCGGCGAACTGGCCGGCACCACGAAACGAGACCCGACGCACGGGTGGCAACGCATGGACGTGACAGCGGCCGTGCGCCGCTGGGCCAGCGCTGGAGAGCGCGGTCCGCTGCGACTGCTGCTCGACTGCAGCGGTTGCCTGGGTCGAGTGCGACTGCGGCTAGCCGGCGGGCAGGCGGCGCGCCCGCTGCTACGACTGCGGCTCGCACCGCCCGCCACGCGCCGTCGTCGCGCTATCGTCTGCGACAGCGCCAACCACAGTCGCTGTTGCCGCGAGACATACTATGTGAGCTTCCGCAGGCTCGGCTGGGACGACTGGATCGTCGCGCCGGAAGGCTACTACGCAAACTATTGTCGCGGCGCCTGTGCGCCTTTCCTCAACTACCACTCGCAGGTGGTGGAGGCGGCGCGGCTGGAGCGCGCCGCGTGCTGCGCGCCTGTGCGCTTCTCTGCGCTCTCACTCATCTACTTCGGCGCCGACTCGAACATCATCAAACGCGACTTGCCCGAGATGGTGGTCGAGGAGTGTGATTGCCCGTAGCGGCGCCCTTGTACATAGCCTGCCGCTCCGCCCGCGCCGCTCTCACGCCGCACCGCCGCGGTACGCTTCTGCCGCTCTCGAATCCGATTTAATCCGAATCGATTATAAATAATATTATCGACTTGTGTAATATTTTGTTCCTCGCATTCGAAAGACTATATCCTAAAAATCGATAAATAAAACTATCTACACTGGACTCGTCGCGTTATCGTATCGTACGTTGCACAATTGTTATTATAAGCATATCGCGTATGATGGCATGTTCAGCATATCCTTCACCGCCTTCATAGAGTACGATAGTAGTCGTCGTTAGCTTATGTGATGCGGTCGAGGCTGTGCACTAGATAGTGGTGCGCAGTGTCGCCGCAAGTCGTACGCGCGACATGCCACCGCGGTAGGTCGCGACTGCCGCGAGCTCGCGCGGCGTACGGCACGCGGACGCGACGCTTTGTGTGTAGGTGGCCTAAATAATTTAATATGCCGTTTTCTTTCACCCCGTTTGGTGATCGCTTGTAATTATTGTAAACTGTATTATAATAATTATTATAATTATAATAATAATAAATCAACTTTTTCATAATTATTATGACTTCTTTTATTTGCATACCTTAATGACCACGATACTTTTAATAGTACAATTGTTGATTTATACATATAATATTTTTATTATTATATAAATTGTTTAAACACACGTAAATTGAATCCAATATTTCCATGCATGGGAACGAAAGATAGATGAGGGTATCGTACATGCGAAGAAATTAGCGTTAAAATATACATACATGTTTTAGGGCAGTCAATACTTGGTAATTTATGTTGTTTTCTCTGTAGGATAATATTCTTATTTCCAATAATCTTGAACCTGCTTGCCGGATCCATTGGAATAAAACCTATTCTATCCTATAGCTCAAGTTAAAGCAAACACATACACATTTACAAAATTTCATTTACAATGTGAGTATCCTATCTGAAGAAAAATCATATCGCACACTCTTTGGAATCAACTTCTAGCAGCAGTATTTCCGAACCAATACGACACCATAACCGCCAAGAAACGAGCATGATCCTTTTTAAAAGGCCGGCAGCGCACCTGCAATGCCGTTGGTGTTGTGGGTGATCATGGGCGGCGGTAGTCACTTACCATCAGGTGAGCCGCATGCTCGTTTGCCCCCTGTATTGTAAAAAAAAACATGCGTCCATCAACATCTCAACAACACAATTTGAAATATTCACTCTAATGTTAGAATTTAAAACACAATCGATCGCTAGAGTCGGTTGATAGGATTAAACAACTTTCAAAATGAAAATTGACCGGAAAGTCCAAATTTATCCATCTGCCTATCCATATCAACTCGGTTACATCCCTATACATCCCTATATTGGGCACGATTCCCCGTAGAAGCTTTCTACATGTATTCCCACGCCGTTATTATTATTATATCAGCCGTTAACTGTCCACTACATACATACATACACATACACATAGGTCTTCCCCATAAGGGAAGTTTTGCCAGTAGTTGCCACGCTTGGTAAGCGGATTGGCAATCGCAGTTAGGCTTTTAGAGATATTTTAAGAGGGACGTTGCTGCCCAACCCTCGCCCTCCTTTTGTCGCTTCTTACGACATCCACGGGAAAGGAAGGAGTGGTCCATTTTTGGTACACACTGCAAACCACACCATACCACAGTTTTATTTAGAGTTTTCTTCTATTGCATTAGTTATTATGTGTTTTATTCATATACATAGCCTTTTACATCCATAGATAGAAAAAGTAGTGGCACAGTGGCACCAAAAGGGAGGTCAGGATAATTTGAAAAGTAAAAAAAGAGGAATAGAATTTTGATTCTGCTAAATTGATATTTAAATCTATTATATTTAACTCACAGTTATTATTTTATTTCATATGATTTTTAAAATAAAAATTTCGTTGTTATATTAAATAGAAAATTTAATTTAGAAGTAGATTTAGAGAATCTATACCTCAGAATTGATCCCAATCAATAATTTAAGTGAACAACAAGCAAACTTATTGCTGAATAACCTCCTTCAGAAAACCTTTGGAGAGATTATATTAGGAAAAAACATAAAGGGTAGGTAGATTAATAAAATATACACGGACTCGAACTTGGCTGAGAGTTTGAAGGAAGCAAACAATAAGGCGCGCGAATAGAAGCAGGAAGTGAGTTGCCCAGCCAAATTGTCTGTACGAAACTTTTATATATTTACAAGCTATAGCTGATGAATTTTTCCACGTGGCTTACAATAAAATGTATAAAATTTTATTCAAAAAATTAAGAAAATGAAAGACCTTGGAGGAACAATTTTCATAATATACTCGTAGTTAAAAGACCATCAAAGATTCGAATTAGCTATCAGGTCAAGTATTCAGTAAACTCTAATCTTTAAAATAAATTATATTGCCATTTTATCGTGTAAGCACTTGTAGTATTCTAGAGTATGCCTCTGAAGTATAGAATCCCTTGAATGCCGTATAAAGCAACAGAATAGAGTCTAGGTATCTAGAAACTATGTTACATAATTCAAAGCCCAAGAATGTCATGTTAATAATAATATTAGTTCATAATTATTTAGGTAAAGACCGTTGAGTGTTAAAGAATGTCTCTCAGACCTAGATCAATACCTGTCTGCCTTTTAGGTAGTTTCTAATTTATGTCACTATAGACGTAAGCAATAATATCATTGTTGTTTACCTCTAAAAATCTTCCGTTCTATTTAAGAAAATTAACTTAGGTACTTACGTATCCCGACTAAGTAAGTTTGATAATACTTACCTACTTCGTAATAGAATAAATTGAGATTGGGGTAGCGAGGTATTGTATGTGTAGCAGGCCTGAAACAGGCGCCGGTGTTCCGCGTGGAGACGGAATCTCGGCTCAGGACGGGGTGTTGGCGAGATACGATGCGATCGATGGTCAAAAGAGACACCCCGGCGCCGTTCGCTCTTACTACATCGTATATAGTAAGTAACTGCTTCAATATTTGTTCAATTGATAAAATAAATAGAAAAAAAAAACATACTTACTAATATTACTCGTATGTTGAAATCTCAAAATAAATTCTCATATTTTAACAGCTTGTAGGTCTTTGACACGTAAAATGATTTAGGCTACTATGCCATTTATTTACACGATCTTATGGATAAAGTCAATGGCTCAGCCAATAAAACATAGAATTAAAAAATTCAGTTGGAACTGATTTTTTTTTAATTATAATTTTATAGAGTACTATTGGAAATCTTACTAATATAATAGGCCTTAATTTAGTTGGAACTTTCAATATTGATGATATTTATATCAATACATTTAGATTATTTATATTAAAATGTAATAAATCCAGGAGTTCATTCAATTAGGTCCCCTGTGGCACAGAACTAATATATAACTATCTCTCGGATTCATTAGGTTTTGTTATCGCTATTTACCATCACTTGACATTTTCTATTTCGCTGATATTGGAACTTTAGGCCTAGCTCCAACTATATTTAATTAAAATTTGTTTCTAATAATCGGGTATTCGTCAAGTAACAATAGAGATTTTATTCTACAAAAAAACACATCGACTTGAATCTTGGTAAACCAATTATTTTCATTTAACAACTACTGAACGGACTTTGACAAATTTTTTTATGGGCTTAATCTGAAAACATATCCTTTTAGATAAAAAAATAATTTTTCAAATTAGTTTATAAATAACGGAGGTTTAAGGTAACAAATATAAAAAGTCGGTTGAAAATTAGAAAATTACTCCAGATGGAGTTGCATAGGTGTGAACATACAAAAGCTTACTATTTGAAACGAGTAGTATTTGTTTCAAATAGTATTACATTAGTTTGGTTATTGAAAATTAGGAATTTAATTCTACAAATTGCGTCGCTTCTGAGTATTCTAAGCAGCATTCTCTAATTTGTCCATAACATAATTAACGGTTAGCTCTTTTCAATCCAGGTATATTTTATATAAAAAAAAAATTGTAAAAAAAAAGATCATCAAAATAGGTCTAAAATTGTCTTCGACAACCTTTTTTGCAATTAATAAGATTTCTCTCATGGTAGTTCCATACCATTTAATCTGTGACACATTTTGTCGCCGTGGTTAGTTTTTATTTTAGTAATCCCATTATTATTATAAATGTGAAAGTTTGTAGGGATGGACGTTTGTTATTTTTCCACGCAAAAACTACTGAAAGAATTTGAATAACAGGGTATCCTAACTTAGCACATAGGATGCTCTATGTACTAATTCACGCGAGCAAATCTGTGGGATATAGCAAGTGTAGAATAAAATATTAAATAACGAGTGATACTTTTTTCCCCTCCTATTATTTATATTCCAAATTTTTTTCAACAAGGATCTTATTTAAGGAGCTAGACCCGCGCCTAGAAAATAATCTTAAATATGCCAATGTTAGACAGCTACATACCATGTCGCGCGGTGGAGCGCTGACGGCGCGACCGCGGCGGTGGCCCGGTGGCGGCGCCCGCCAGTCTGTCTGCTGTGACAGTAAACATTCAGTTTGGGAGATAATGCATTACCGCTAACTGATACCATCGATACGCAACTGCTGCCATCATTTTGTAGTCGTCCAATAGCTTTATTGCTTTTTTATTGATTGAGAAAACGCAAGTTTTGTAATTCTCTTCTAATATTTTATTCAGTAGACGGACATCATGAATGGGGAGAGAGGGATTAATAGTAATAAGGATCTAACAGCTCCACAACAACCTATATCAATAATAATTTAACAAAGGGAGACTTTGTACAAAACTAGTTTGTTTGGTATGTACCTCTGTCCCATTCGTGTTTCAACCTTGAAGCAGCTGTGTTTCGGTTTGAAGTATAAGATATGGCAGTGAATTTACAGGGTACAGAGAAATAACACCCGAGTACTCAGGAATGGTAATGCATGGGGGGTATCATGGGTGAAACAGTATACTTTGTTATGTCCATGGTACTGTTCATGTCTATAAGTGACGGTTACCACTTTCTATCAGGGGAGCCGTCAGCTTGTTTGCCATTCTAAGTTGCATAAAAAAACTCTATCAGGTCAACCTTTATGCGATTCCACCTGGAAACCATCTTGGTTAATTCTTTATTAATTCATCACTATAGACCAATTGACCTTTTTTTACAACACAGGGGCAAACGAGCATGCGGCTCACCTGGTGGTAAGTGACCACCGCCGCCCATGATCACCCACAACACTAACAGCATTGCAGGCCTTTTAAAAAGGAATATGCTCTCAACCTGCTTTCAACTTCACCTATCATCTCTCATTGGTACTCAGCCAGCGTATACTGATAGCGCAGGCGGGATTATCATTCCATTTACCCTCATTAAAAAAAAATCATGAGTCACTGATCGACTTTAATAAGATAGGTACTGCTTTTAATACAATACGATACAGTATAATACGGTAGGTACTTTTGGGGGAGAAGGGATTGTTAGTAATGCGGATTATCAGTTCCATTGCTAATAATATACCCTAACAGGTCAACCTCCCCGTGGTCTCCCCTGGAAACCATCGTGCTGAATTCCAAGTGTATTCATCACGATGGGCTAACTGACCTGCCTTTTCATCCTCACCTATCATCTATCACTGGTGCCCCGTCAGCGCAAGCGGGGTTACCATTCCATTATCATCTATTAAAAAAAAATACGGTAGGTAGTTAAAATATAAGGTCTTATTAAGTTATAAATACCTTTGCTCCTATTGCTACAACAGCAATTATGTTTTGTCAAGTCGGTCGACATCTACGCAGCCCCTTCTGTAAATCATCGTGATTACAAATTCTCATTGACCTGACTTCATCCTCACCAATCATCAACACACAGGAGGAAACTTTATCGAACACAAAAAGAATAGTTAAAATCGGTTTAAAATTGATGATAACATAGTATAACATACCAAAAAAATAAGGAAAATTGAGAAAAGGTTGTTTTTCAGAGAAGAGAAGTAGTAATATCCATTATATATTACCCTAGTATCAAAGATAGGTGGCAAGCTTCAGCGCTAAGTATGATGATAAAATAAATCTATCAGTAGAAATTATTTTTATTTTATTTTATCTTTATTTGGTCTCCTAGCAATTGTTACACTGATAAGATTTAATATTAAAGTTACTGTCTATTTATTCATAGTGTACAATCATTTTAAAGGGAACACAGCATACTAATTAACAAAAACAATAATATGGTATAACAATCTCTTGAAGTATTTGACATTGGTATAGTTTTTTAGATTCAATAGATGATTGCTTTACATAAGTTTTAGCTATTCAAATTAACTGCAATGCTTTCCTATAGAAATCCCCTTCTGTATCGAAGTGAATATCCAAGTATTGCTTGCAATCATTCAACAGCTTGCAAAGATGTGGTACAGTGGAGTTGGCACCAAGAACAGTTCTACGAAACGGCACGGACATTGGACTGATGTAACTACGAGGATAGTGTACAGGTAATCGATTAAATTATTACTTATTAATGAAATCTTATGATTTGACTAATAAATTTTATTACTTTATGGTAATCATTATCGCCATATGCAGAGTGCCAGTGTAAGTACATTTTATATTATACACCCTTTGGAATAGGTAAACAAATTATACTATAAACACAACAGCAATGTGATGTGACCTCAAAAAGCCGGTTGGCAAGTTTTAGAAAGTACGCTCCCTCCCTTTCGCACATGTATACATGATGGTGCGTCTCTCTGTCACATAGTATGTATTCTTGTCCATTCATTCTTGTGTTTTATATGGTAATACTTGGTCGTGGTCGTGCCAATTTAAGTTTGTAAGACGAAATATATAAAAAATAACAAATTAACACCTTCATAAATGTACCAAAACGTTATCTAAACCAAAATGGAAGACAACCAAAGCAATGTAAGTTACTTATTGCTCAAGTTTCTTTACTTTAGTCCTATTAAGATCTTTATTTAGATAAATACCATTGCCTACCTATCGTAACTAAACAAACATGAATTAGATCGGAGTACTTGCAAACTTTATCGAATTTTGATTTAGTTATGTGTTACCTAATACCTACAGAGTACACGTGTTATGAATATAATTAAATAGGCTGTATTTATTCTGTAATTATTAATGGAAGTCATGTCTCGGTAACAACATCAGGTTATACAAATTGTAAACGGTACCAAAATAGCTCGACATTGATTTAGAACATACATTATCTTACCGTTATTTTCTTTAAATACCCACTGCCGTTTACTTTACAGGATACTAAAGAGTCAATAAATGAAGAGAATAAAATTAAACAAAAGGCTGTTTTGGAAGAAAAACCAAATCGTAATAATGATAAAATAAATATTAATAACAATACAGGAATAGATACAAACATGACAATATGTCTTCTAATATGTATTATAGGGGTGGCTTTAGGAATTCTCCTTGAAATTGTAAATATACAAAACAAAAATAGAAAAACATATAAGGAGCAAATAAAATCTGAAAGACCGACATATTGGGTATATTCCGCTTACAGCGATGTAGAAAATAGAAATGGGTTATTAAAACATGTACATTTAGTTTTAGGAAGAATGGGTTACGAGAAAAGTACTAACCAAACGCCCTGGGCCCTATTATGGTCTCACGATTACCCCTTCAGGGTTCTGTATCCAAATCTGCATAGATTAAAACCATATCAAAAAGTAAATCACTTTCCTGGCACCGGATTTATTACGAACAAAGTTGATTTAGCGACTTCAAAATCTAAATATATACCGAAAGCGTTCAAATTACCTCAAAATAAGCATGAATTTATAAAATATGCATCGGAGAATGAAAACGCACTTTTTTTGGAGAAACATAACCAACATAGAGGCGTAGTTCTGAAGAACGTGACTGAAATAGATCTGTCGAGCGGAGAAAGTTTCGTTCAAGAGTACGTGCAAAAGCCGTTTTTGGTGGATGGACATAAGTTCGATATTGGAGTGTACGTTGTGTTGACTTCCGTTGATCCTTTGAGAGTCTATTGGTATAAAGGAGACGTATTATTCAGGTATAAGTACACAATATTCGTTTGTGCTATTAATAACTTGTGTCAATAAATGGACAGTTTACTTAAACTAGATAGTAAATAAAATAAGTATATCAATATAGGTTTATAAAATACCTCTATATGGTACGAATAGTATATAAAAATAATTATAATTTCTCAATAGGAATTTTTCAAAGTTGAAAAGCGACAACACTGTGAAATTCTCGTAAAACATTTTTCATAGTGTCTAAGTTATAGAAAAAAGTACTATCCTCAATCTGTGGTCCAGGCCTAAGTGGTTTACTACCTAGATTCAAAAAATATTTTTTCAATGGTAATTATTTTGAATCCAAACAATGTCTATCCTATGTCAATTTTGACCAACATCGTTGGATACAAATATGCTTGACACAGTAGAGCAATTACTTTTCATCACAGTGGCTATAATCGATGAATTTCCTCTAACAACCCCACTTGCGATTACAGTCAACTTTTGCCATTTGATCGTAAATGGCTCTGTTTATCAGAGAAAAGCACATTTAACCCATATAGCGATTAAGATGTAATCGTGCTATGTTACTATTTTTACATTCAGTAATCATTCGTATCATATTCGTCGTCCTACAACATTAGGGAACCACCTCCTCGGGTCACATTACTTAGTAAGTTCATTCACTGGTTATCCCTTCATTCATATTGGTTGAATTACAGTAACACAATGTACAACCATTTTAGTTAATTCTTGATGAATTCGTCACGATGGAATGACCTTAGTTAATTTTTTTTTATTACGAATGCGACAGAGGAACTCAAGCAAATGACTTTTGTAGAAAGTCTGTTCATACTCGCCTATTATCTCTTATCACATACTATTTCATTAAAAACTGTTTGGAGGCAGATTGATTCGAGTTATTCATGCGGAAGACGGCTTTTCACAGAGTCTCCTTAAAAATAATGGTAAATTTTGCAGGTACTGTCCAGCGAAATATTATCCGTTTGACGCAAAGAATTTGGACAAATACGTAGTGGGTGATGATTATCTGCCGACATGGGAAGTGCCGTCATTGGCGCATCCTTATACTGCATTAGGATTTGGAATGAAAGACGTGTTCGACCAATATGTGAAATCAAAGGTAAGATATTATGTATAACATGTATTTTCTTATTTTATTCTATTTTATTAATTGATGTTATTCTTATTAATATTATAAATTTGAAAGTGAGTTTGTTTGTTTGATACCTTATAAAGCCTAAACGACTTAATCAAGCACTATGAAATTTGATATACTCTTACTATATGGGACGGAAAAGAATATAGGCTGTTTTTTATCCCGGTCAGTAAATATATTCGGGTCGCGTGGACGAAGTTGCAGGTAAAAGCTAGTATTATATAAAATATATATAAAAATTTATTTAATACTTATTCTCTTTCTTTTATGCTACATTCCTAATTAGAAAGAAAGTGACAAAACAGTTCAATAGCTAAAATAGGTTTTAGTTTTTATGAATAAGGGGGGAAAAATAATGCACTGTGACGTACATGAAATTTTTCATGTATTCAGTTTCTGAAGACTCAAAGTATGCATGCCTCATTGCCACATTTGTTGTGTAAAAAATCATGCTGTTCCGTTCAGCCTAATATTCGTCTGTTACAGGGAAAGGATCCTTTAAAGATGTGGGAAGATGTACAAAATGCAATTGCTGAAGTATTTATATCCAAAGAAAAATATATAATCGATGCTGTAAGTAAAAATAATATTTCACTTACGCACTTAAATTGTATAGAATTTGACAGTTGGGTAGATGATTAGAATTATTTTGTTAAATAATTCTAAATAATTAACCAGTGATATGGACTTCTGCAAAAATACCTAATTCAGTAACATAATTAGATAATTGATAATATTATTTATATTAATGGACCACTAGTTTATTCATAATCATAATGTAAGTACCTACAAATGTCTCTGCTTATGAGCAGACGGATCATATAAACTAAAAATTTAAGACAATACTATATCGAAAGAAACAGATTACTGGGTACAGAGGAATAACACCTGAGTCCTCAGGAATGGGAGATATCATGGGCAAAACAGTATACTCTGTTATGTCCATGGTACTGCTCATGTTTATAGGCGACAGTTACCACTTTCCACCAAGTGGACCGTCAGCTTGTTTGCCATTCTAGGTAGCATAAAAAAAACAAAAGTAGTAAACAAAGAGTCAGAAGTAAATATCGATAGATTTATTATATATTGTAATGAATAAAAAATTTATTTAATACATATAATTCGTACATGTAAGTATTATATGTATATAGGTGGATACCACTCGACTACAAATAACGACAGAAATTGAATAGTACTAAGCAGTAATATGTTTTAAATCCGGACTACTTCAACTTCGTATATTTATTTTATAAAAAGTGGTGTGAAAGCGTTATTTCTAAGTACTCTACTTGTAAAATTAGAACTTAATTATTACATTATAAACTCTGCTTCATATTAATATAAGTCTACCCTTGCTCACAACATTTATAAATACACTATTTTATATGTAACTTACAAGTGCAATAAAGAATATATATATAAAATAAACGGCATCTACTAATTGTATTATTATTATTTTTTTAGTTAAAAAACTACCCATCGGCGGAGAATTTCTTTGAACTTATGAGGTTCGACTTAGTAGTTGACGAGGATCTAAGAGTATACCTGTTGGAAGCGAATATGTCTCCAAATTTAAGTTCAGCACATTACCCGCCGAATCAGTTACTCTATGAACAAGTATTATACAATCTATTTTCTCTCACAGGAGTCACGGAGTATGTGAATAGATATAATGACCCTAATCTAAGGTAAGATGAATTCTGAGTTCTTAATGTGTATTATACTAAGATTTACGTTATGTTTGCGTTCACTTTTATACACCCGGTTCCCTCTGGATTTGTCACAATGGGCCAACTGACCTGACTTCTAACTAATTAACCATTGTTCACTCTAACCATGTCAACGTACACAGATGGCCCAGGTGGAGTTTATACTATTCCATTATATCCTATAAAAAATTACCATAAAGTGGCACTAATAGTGATCCTCGTGTATTACTGAGAATTAAGGGTACTCTAGCAAGTAATTATTTTGTGACATTACTGGTTCTATTATATTATACTCTATTATTGTATCATATCCCATATAATTGATAAAAGAGGATTTTTTCAGTAATGTAACGAAAACAGACTGGTGTTATTTGCTAAAAGCGAATTGGAAAATTATCATTATTTTCAAGTTCATGTGCTAAAAATAAAATAATAGCCAATTACATTGGCGCATTCGTCCTTACGGGAAATCAATATTTTATACATAACTAGCTGTAGCTGACAGCTTTGTTCGTGAGAATTCATTATCTACCAAGACCATGGGAATTTCGAGAAACGTAGATGAGAAGTTATTACTAGCAACATATCTGCTATATCTTGCCGACCCCCACGCGGATTCCCTGGAAAAGTTGGTATCGTGGTTAATTCGTTTTTTATGACATAGGCCCCGTAGATTAACCTGCCTTTTCATTCTCACCAATCATCCTTCACTGGTGTCCCATCAGCATACATCGATAGCGCAGACGGGGTTACCATTCCATTGTCACCCATTAAAAAAAACTGACCTGATTTCATCTTGGTCTTGTATCCTGCTCAGAATAGAAATTCTAGTGCATTATTCCATCTTCATCTATTTAAAAACTAGCCTATTCACATACATTATTCGAGGAACACGTGTACATTTTTTTTTCAATTCTATAAGGTCAATGCTGAATAGGTCAGATTCTGAGATGCTACTTACTTACCTACTAAACCTATCTCTTGATCTAATATTTTAATTTGATAGTTTCACGAAATTACTATTTTATGGACCTTTACAAATTAAATTTATAATAATTTTGACTTAAATCTATTAGAAATTTAGTTTATATTAGTGCATAGAATAAAAATTTTGCTATCATTTAAATTTAAGAAATAGGTTTGGACAATGGCGCATCAGTTCGACTCTATTTTTCACATTAGTTGTCTGTTGTTGTCTTTCAGCCAATAATTTCTTTATTAAGTAGGAATATTCTTTTTTATTTAGTACCTACTAAGTGTATCTTATACCTACTTATGAATAAAATACTTATATAATGGGTAAAGACAATACCTACACATTTATTCTTGTTATAACTTCAAAGGCGCAATGAAGTGATTGTTTCGTAATTCTCGTTAGAGAAGTTTTATTTAGATAAATTTCTTTTTTAGCTGAAAATATAACATTGATACACCTTCGCAATTCCTCTAATCAATTTCATATATTATGTTATATAATAAATGACGTAGTTTATAGATACAATATAGGTACATCCGTGAATCATTGATACATTAAATCGGCACTTAACAATCTCAAGTGCTTAAAGAGTTTTTAATAGGTGTCTATGTATTTTTCTTCAAAACATTAATCAAAATTATCCGCGACAACGGCATGGAAGTAAAAGATGTTCCCAAAGGGCTGTAGGTGCAAACCTTACATAATTTATATGATTAGAAGTTTTTACTTCATTAAAAAAATATATCCGAGACCAAGGAAGTAGGAATTCTATTTTCGACAAATTAGGTTAGATGTTTAGCCGCAAGAAATCAAGTAGGTTGATATGTAGGTACCCGTATTTTAAAGCCAAGTAGACTGATTTATATATGTATTTACCTATAGAAGCATATGAATACAGGCGGTATTTTTTTAATGGGATGAAAATGAAACGTTATTCTTGTCTGCGCTATCAGTGTATAAAAATAGCTGAAGATAAAGGCATGTCAGTTAGACCCATCGCGACGAATTCACCAGGAATTAAATATGATGGCTTCCAGGGCAGACCGTGAGACGTTTCACCTGATGGTATTGATGACAACTGAGTCTTCAAACAAGTCCAAACCAATACTAACATAACACACCTTTCTCTCCCTTGTAATCCCAGAACGCTTTTCCTATTATTAAATACTTAGTAAAACTATAAATATGAAAGTAAGTTTATTTGTTTATTGCTTACTCAATGACCATGAAATCACAGATCGATTTGCAGCTATAAATTTTCAATAGTTTCACATGTAAATAATAGACATATTAATTTTGACGCTTCTCTCTTTTCATTTAAGAGTTTCCTCTTGTCGGTGCAACTAATTCATGCATCTTCTTCCAGCCAGCTCTATCCCAGGCCATATCCTTGATCTCCCTATACGACATGACACCTAGTGTTTCTTTTATCTGTCCCATTTTGACGCTTATGTTTTTATAAATATAAAGGAATATGGATAAGATTTGAAAAATGTCAAACTGACGGTACTTTATTGGTGTATGAATTGGCAACATTTGGTAAATTTTAGCCGAATATGCACCAATCGTAAAAATGTTATTAAAGACACAACAGCAGAAGAACTAAACGGAGGATACTTTTGTAATGGGTGAAAATGGAATGGTTACTCCGCCTGCACTAACGGGATACGCTGGCGGAGCACCAGTGAAGGGTGATCGATGAGAATGAAAACAGGCCAGTTAACCCATCACGATGAATTCATCAGGAATTAACCATGATAGTTTCCAGGGGGAACCGCGAGGAGTTCGACCTGGTACTATAATATCGGTAATATACCCAATATTGCTAGCAATGAGATTCTCAGTCTTCATTACTAACAATCCCTTTCCCCCCAACGGAGGATACTGTACCTAGACGAAATAAACATTTGTTGTTCGTTTGCAACAATTATTCTACTTTGTAGTCAAAGTCTTACGAAATTACTAGGTACTATATATAAGTACTTTATTTAGTTCCTACCACAACTGTACGTTTTGATTTTATATTTTAAGTTCATTTTTGTTCATACTGTAATAGAACTTTTTTTTTACAGAGACTATACTGCTGCCCAGCATATGGTGTCATCGCAAAAAAATATAGCTGTATGGGGTAAAGAGTGTAGTACACTATGTAGAGACAACTGTGAATCACACGCAGTTTGTGGACTGTGTAAACCATGCTTGAACAATAAGCTAAGGAACAGTTTGTTGAAAGCGCATACAGAACACTTGCATAGAGGCGATTTTGGAAGACTAATCCCGCCTCCACTAGTCAGTATAAAATTTTATTATTTTAAAATTAAGTAGATAATACGGCATCAACATCCTTATTGATTACGATTACTTCAGATATATATATATATATATATATATATATATATATATATATATATATATATATATATATATATATTATAGATTGCGCCTAATAGGACAAGTTTAAATTTGTGCTAAAATCACAATATTTTCGACAAAGATTTCAATGACCTACATATGTTTTGTTGTAAGGTCGCATTCCGTGATAGATAAGTATAATATGATGATAACATATTATGATTACGGACTCACTGTAAATAAGCATAAAGCAAATTTAGGAGAGAATTGTCAAGTTGCTCAAAGGCATATAGTGTATATGCTTGAAGTCGACTACAGCTGTGACTATTCAGTATATACCTGTGTATATTATATATAAATGTATACTACTAACATCGTCGAATCAGAGGTCAAAAATTGCAACAGATTTTTCATTGAAAAAACTACCTAGAATAAAAATTAACAATGAATCATTTTGGCCGCCCACCTGATTAAAAGTGGCAACCGTTGCCTATTATATTAATTATTAGTAACCAGAAATAGCGACCCTATTATTAGCCATATGCCCTGGTACAGATAATACTATACTAGGCCCTAATAGGTCGATATCCACATGACACCCCATAGAAACTAAAATAGTTAATTCTTGTTAAATTCATCACGATGGGATCACTAACTTGTTTCCATCCTAACGAATAGGAGACGATAAAAGCATACCTTCAAATAAGTAATACTCCGCACTAGCAAATACGGAATTACCATTCTATTAACATTCATAAAATTAACATCAGAAATTAAAGTCATAAGCATTTTTATTTTTAATTACTTTATAAATGAGAGTATAATTATTTATAATTATTTTTTTATTTTTCAGGAACCTACTACGCAAATATCTAACGATAAACTAAAACTTCTGACTGAAACCAATAAACTTCAATATTTATGGTATCAAGGAAAATGCAATAAAGATATGAAATGGTGTACATAATAGATAAAACTTTATTGTAACTATAAGTAATTTATTAATAAAAAAAACTTAATAACTATTACAAAAATAAAGAAACTTTGTTTTTATATTCCACTAAGACTCTGGGATCATTGACTGAAGTAAGCCCAGAATGTAACTGCCCAAATCTTCATCTTGATTTGTCCATGAAACATAAATACTTTTTGTATTATCATCACCCTCTACTTTAATTAACACAGACTCTACAGATATGTTCCCTTCTGATATGGTTATGGTCCAACCTTCTAACTTTTCTTCTAACAAGCTTTTCAACTTCTCTGCTGTTTTTACTGCAGGACCACAATCATCAAACCGCACAGTACTTGTGAAACGAATAACATGCCTATTGATACCAATTTCATCACACACTTCATCGATATCAAGTAAAGAAAGTCTATTATCTTTGACACAGAGTATTCCATTGACAATACGACGCCTTTTTGGATCAGGAGGCTGAGCATTGTATCTAACAGCCTCGGCTTTGAGTAGTCTCAGGGAAACATCAACAGGAATCTTAGTTGGCGTTGTAATAACACATGTTTCACCATTTGCTGGCATATAACAATTTATATTAAACTCTTTCTCTATTTTATCCTTCAAAAACTCCATTTTTAGAGCCTCACCATGCACCAATAAAACATTCTTTGGTTCACAATATTGTATCAATTGCATAATTCCCTTGGCATCTGCATGTGCAGAAAAAGACATGTATTCAACAGCCATTTTAACTTCCACCACCTGTCGGTTTTCAAATTCAATCTTTTTGGCTCCATTAAGTATTTTGTGCCCCACTGTGCCCTGGACACAAAATCCAGGCATTATAACCATGTTTTGTTCATAAGGTGCCCATTTCTTAAATATATTAAGTGACAAGCCTGCATGCAACATTCCTGGTGTTGCAAAAACAACCATAGCCCCAGGATTGTCTATGTATGACTTGTCAAAGGGTTTAATATGTTTAAAATCAAACATATTTCTTTGAACAAATGTTTTGCGTATCTTCTGATTTGTCCATGTTATAAACATTTTATAATAATTATTCGCTTTTTCTGTCAAACCCAATGCAAAATAAACTGGATACTTTAAATTCATTCTTTCCCAATATGTTTCTAATAGGATACATAACTCTTGAGCTCTTCCAAGAGCAAAGACAGGAATAAGTACTTTTCCGCCTTTTTCTACACATTCATGTACTTTTTTTAGAAAATCTCTTTCACGGCAGCGTTTAGAATCTCTTATAGTAGTTGCATATGTTGATTCAGTTATCAATAGATCTGGTCGGCATTTATCTATCCATGCAGCACCTAAGTGTCTGTCTGGAGTCATATTGTAATCACCAGTATACACAACGGATTGTGAGCCAACTCGAATCCAAAACATAGCAGCACCTAACACATGACCAGCATAGTAGGCCTTAATTTCAAGTTCATTATCAACCATTACAGACTGGTGCAACGTCACTGCTGTTACTTTCTTTATGCAATCTTTTATCATTTGTGATGTAAAGAAGTTAGACTCACCCTTTCTTTCTACAGCTACCTTTCTCATATCTTCGAGTAAAATTGGTGCTATTGCTTTTGTTGGATGGGTCATATATATTGGACCAGTGTACCCAACCATTTCAGACATGTACGGCAAAGCTCCACAATGATCAAGGTGGAAATGTGATATAATGACACAATCAATCTGACTTGTAATTGGACCCTCGGGAACAATGTAGGAGAAGTCGGGGAACCGTCGTTCGTCGTTATAGCCCATGTGCATGCCGCAATCTAGCATGATGTTCTTGCCACCCATGGAAGGAGTATGCAGCTTCTGCCAACATCCTGACCAGCCCCTAAAGGAGTGATCTTTATGTCTGGCATTGTGAGCTGCAGAAAATATTATATACTTTGAAAATAGTGGTGTAATCGTATGATTTCTATTAACCAGACATCGAACCCGGTTATCGTAGATATTTAACTATAGGTCTATAATTTTCTTTTTATAAGTATTTAACGATAAACACGCCTTGGAATTTATAGATTCGATATCTATAGTACATTTTAAAAGATAACCAATAATGGTACTATTTTGATTCAGTTCGTTGTTTTAATCAAAATATCACTTATGTGTTCACTGCTATTATGTATGTACTTACAATTTATTTTCTCAAAGAACAAATAATGTAGTCTTTTAAAAATTCCATTAAGTAGAAAGATTCAATTGATAATTTTATTATAATTTGAAGGAAACAAAATATATGTTTTATAGTTAATTTTTTATCAAAACATCATCATTTCATATAAAAAATATATTCTTAATATCTGTGCAACTGTTTATACACAATATCTAGAAATATGATGCCACAACATTTGATATAATGTAATGCCAATAACCCACATTCATTAGTTGAACCCAAATTGATGCCCTTTAATTCCTTTTTTTGCGTGAATAGGGAAAGAAGAAGATTTTATATGGGGGAAAAAGAAAAAACTGTATGAAAAATCAGTTCAAGGTACGATAGAGATACTTGAAGAAGGTAAAAGCCCTTAAAATTATAAAAAAAAAATATTCATCTACAGCAAAACGGGGTGAATAGTAATGAAACGGGACTTCGTTTTAATTTTTTTATATTAATCTATCTCCATAGAATTATTTTATGATTGAGCATACAATCTGGGATCGTAATCTTTAAAATTGGGGTATTTATTATTAATTAAATCGCCTGGTTATCCTAAAATATTCCAAAATGGGTTAATTTTCTACATTCTCAAGGTTGGATTGATTAAAAAAGAGAAAGACAATGGAAAAATTGACCAGGATTGTCATTTGCGTAAATATAAATGATCTTATTAATCTTATATTGGGCATTAAATATAATCAACGTTGATGCGTTTTTTATTGAAGAAACAGTATAAATATGAAGAAAAAATAGAATAAAATTGCTTATTTTATTAAAATATTATTTGTACCATAAAGACTAGTAGATATAAGAAAATATAATATAAAAAAAGATTGTTTTATTCACCCAGCAAATTTTATTCACTCATTTTCACAGCAAAATAAACAAATTGCATTAAACGTAAAAACTTATTTTATTTTACATAATTTTCTGTGAATTTGATAATAGTTTTACATGGTTTCACACCACTTCTAGATTTTGAAGATATAATAATTGTGTTAACTCTTAATCTCCCTATATCCGAATTATTTAGCTATTCGATCAATTAGTAATTACTAATAATTATACAATAAATTAGTAATACATTGATAATGTTTTTCGAACAAATTTACTAATTAGTAATATGATTAAAACGAATAATAATAAAAAATAAAATCATTATTATTCATTTAAATAGCAATAGATCATTAGAAGAAGCAGTACATTAAATAAAATTGTAGTCGAATGATTTTCGGTACATTAGAATATCACGAATAAATTGTTTAGTCGAATAGCAGTCTTATTAGTTCCTTTGAGGATCCCTATTAATTTGTTAGTCATTATTTCTATATAGGTATCTATCTATCTAATTTTTTTATTTGTGTTTAGTTATAGATTCCTACCTACCATCCTTTACCATAGACTTAGCACATACTTACGTGTACCCTTATACCATGCATGTACTTTATAATGTTGTGTTCTGTGGTGAAGGTTTTTTTTAATGGGTGGTAATGAAATGGTAATCCCGCCTGCGTTATCGGTATACGCTGGCGGAGTACTACTGAGGGATGATAAGTGATGATGATAACAGATCAGTTAATCCAGTCACGAATTCCGCTAGAATTAACCACGATGGTTTCCAGGGGAAATCGTGTGGAAGTCGCCCTGATAGGATGAATTGCTGGCAATGGGTCAGTTAGACCCCATTACTAATAATCCTCTCCCCCTTGCGGTGATGGATTACTCGCATTGACACTGACATATTAACATTTGACAATACTGACATATGATTGTCATTTTGTCATACGGTACATTTTTGTTTTCAACTTTTTATCACTTTACATTTCTGAATCCCAAACAAATTTTATAAAAAAAATACCTAAATTTTCTTATCAATTATACGTTTTAGTTACAATTTCTTTAATTTTTAGTAAATAACAATTTTCTGACTCATGCCGGTAATACTATGCATAGGAAATTGATAATGTACAAATCGTAATTTGAGTTATTCTACGAGCTTGTGATAAGCTTATCGGTTTTTAAGCGGCACCGGTCGGCTTGTGTAGACGTTTACACTCCCTAGACGCATTATAAACGGATTGAAAACGTACCTAAAATGTCTGGTGAAGGTTCCAGTACAAATGGTAATAGAAAAGTGGCTCTTATCACCGGCATAACAGGACAGGTACAGTTTAAAATTTTAGTTTTAAAATATAACTAGTGATTGTTTTATAGTTTTGAAATGGAATAATTTTGACTTGAATAAAGTGAAGCACATTAAGAACTAGGTGTTGTATACTTAAGATTTTGGCAAAGCCAAAATCTTAAGTATACAATATCCTATTAGAATTAGGTTTAATAGTATCCTGTTCCAGTCCAGGATATTGACTATTTTTTTTTAATTGATGATAATGGAATGGTAACGCCTGCAGTAACTGTATACACTGGTGGGGCACCAGTGAGGGGTGATTTGTGAAAAGGCAGGTCAGTTAGCACATTGTGATGAATACACCAGAAATTCAGTATGATGGTTTCCAGGGAGGACCACATGGAGGTCGACCTGACAGGGTATATTGCTAGCAATGGGACTGATAGTCTGCATTACTAACAATCCCTTCCCCCTGGATATTGGCTATTAGGTCCATTTTATTAAAATCTATTCAACTCTTTAAATGTCATTGAGTGACAAATATCCCAACATTAAGAGATTGGGATGTAATGGGGACTAGTGGCCTCATTACTGGCAATATACCCTATAGGATCCACATCCACACCTGGATCCATGTCACCTCTGGAAACTAGCATGATTAATTCCTGAAGAATTTGTCATAGTAGACCACTTTACCTGGCTTCATTAGCTATCATTACTTACTGCTGCCCTGTCAACAAATCTGTATATGGGCAAATGGGATGACCATTCCATTTTCATCTGCTAAAATTAACATAAAGAGATTTTTACAAATTTTCATATTTATTGTAACATATATATGATATGTTTACTATAATAATTATATATAACTACAATCTATTATAATCATTAAAAATAAAAATATTATTTGTACTGAAATTCGAAAAGATTATTCTATTTAACTATTGTAAGTTTATAATATGTTATTTGATATTTTTTCTTTCCTAGGATGGTTCATATTTAGCAGAATTCCTAATAGAGAAAGGATATGAAGTGCATGGTGTGCTTAGGCGCTCATCTTCCTTCAACACGGGTAGGATACAGCATTTGTATGGGCAGCCCACATGTCACACAGGGGGAAGAATGCACCTACATTATGGTGATCTCACTGACACCACTTGTTTGATCAGTATTATAACACAGGTGGGTGTCTCTTTGATATTCATTGAATATCATTGTTATTAATTAAGTATTGAATAAGCAAAAATATATTAAACAGCAATAAATAGATTAAGCAGGACTATTTTATCACTCCCACCTCCTTTATTTGCCGACATTCTTGTCTTCTTTTATTAAATGCTTGATAGGTTTGGGTATTGCAAATTTGACATTTGTACTGTGAAATTTAGTTAAAGCATTCTGTTTATCTGTCTATATAAAATTAATAAGATAGACTTGATGAAGTGAAGCTTAATATTATACTACATTTATATTTAAAATAAATATCCTAAGGAATAAAATGATTTTTTTTTTAATTAAGGACATAATCTAGGAGTCTAATGAGGTCAAATAGTGCTCCTTGACACATATTTATTAAATAATTATTTTAATAAATTCCTGTTAAAACTTATAATCTCAAAATGTCATAAATATCCATATTATAGTTATTAATTTTAATATTTTGTACATGTACTACTAAAAATTTTTTTCCTCCCTTTTTTAATAAATTGTTGACCTTTTTTTTATAAAAATGAACCCGGTTTTTACTAGTTTGTTTTTTCAATTATATTCCATTATGTTTTGATCAAGGTCATTCAAGGCTGAATTGCAATGACTGACCTTAATTATAAATCATAATTGGTGACATGGAACCAACATGGAATTGAAATAATCTATGAAAATGACAATAATATCATAAAGATAAAGTATTTGTTGTAATTTTATATTTACATTTAACATTTTAGTCCTGGATCTGTTATTGCTGCAATAGATTCATAAATATAATATTCAATTTACAAATTAAACTCTTTAACAACATTTCCTATAGTGGATTATTTAACTTATAAGTTAGTAAATACTAAAAGGTTTCCTCTCATTGAAAGCAATATTCCAAGACATTAAAATTATTAATTTTGTAACAACTTTTTATTTTCTACAGACTCGCCCTAAAGAAATTTATAACTTAGGAGCGCAATCTCATGTTAAAGTATCATTTGAGCTCAGTGAGTATACTGCCCAAGTGGATGCGTTGGGTACACTCAGGTTACTTGAAGCTATACGAGCTGCAGGGTTAGAAAAAGAAACAAAAATATATCAAGCATCAACGTCAGAATTATATGGAAAAGTTGTAGAAGTTCCACAAAATGAAAAGACACCATTTTATCCCAGATCTCCATATGGTAAGTAAATCCAATTTGTTTCTGTGTACCATTATTGCTATATTTCAAAATTAAAAAAAAACAGGACTGGCAACCCAATAAGTATGTAAGTATATTCTTGTATATATTATATATGTGTATTTTTACATGTGTAAATACAAATTTGCGGAACTGCAACAAATTTGAATTTGAAAATGTACATTTTTATTATCCAAATATGTTAAACTATGGCAGAGAAATTCCCACCAGAATTACTTCATAAATTGTAAAATATTGTTTTCACAGATTGACTGTTAAGCAAACTTATATTGTACTGATAATAGTATTGTGATGTTAATGTAATGTTTCTTAATCTATTTTAGCTCAATGTAAAAAGTATAATAGACGTAATAAAATTTTAAAATAAGCAAAATAAAAAGGGTAAACACCATGCAGTAAATTCAGCTTGATATAAAGGCTCTTATAACATTTATAATTTTTATTTTTGATAATATTTTACTAAGAGTAGCTTCATGGGATTCCATTAGTTATATCTAGATAAACAGAGCTGACATAATGCTAAACAAATAATTTCAAAACAACAAACTGTTAACAATCATTGTTTTGAAATTTCAGTTGTATTGTCTTATTTGTAGGTATTATATGAGCTCAACAGTAAACAATATTTGAAATGCGGTCTCTCTTTGTATAATTATGTAATTGTATATAAGTATATTTGTGTATATGTATTTGCAATCTATGCTTTCTACACTAATATTATAAAGAGGTAAAGTTTGTGAGTTTAGATGTTTGAGGTAATCTCTGGTACTACTGAACCGATTTTAAAAATTCTTGTTAGAAATTTCTAATAATAATAATAATAACCCCCCCAGGGGATCACCTTGCCGTGGTGGGGGGGCTTAAAGGGACAAGGTACTAAATAGTTATGTCAGAACACCTAGACAATACACCCCAAATGGGAGATACTATGTTTCAAAGTAAAAAGCTTAAAACACCTAGAGCTCACCTCCCTAACTAACGATCCCAAAACCCCTTTTTTTCTTATGGAGAGATGTCTACATATAAATATAGATTACGGCCGCTGCCCGGGGGGCGCCGGGGCACACCTGGAGCCGATGCTGGGTGTAGCAGTATGCGATCCACCGGCGACGAGGGGTTGAACAGGCGGGCCCCTGTCAAACAATACACTACAGCCGATCAAGAAACTACTGGTACCGATAATGACGACGATGAATCTTTATTACCATCCATAACAACCACTTACTCTTATAGGATCAATCAGTCATCCACAACATCAAGCGTAGGTAGTGATTTTACTGTGGATGTTGCACAAGAGGCAAATAGTAATGCTGTTCAAACTGTGCCCACCACGAGTAAGCCTTATAAACGTAGGAAATGGACTGATGAAATGAATGAGTTTATCCTACGTACATATTTACTTGTCACCAATCTAGATACAGATACAAAAGACTACCTCACACCCCTACACACAAAATTCATGGAAAAGTTCCCCGAAATAGAAGTAACTCGCCAACGCCTAGGTGATCAAAGAAGATCTATAATACGGAATAAACTGCTACCTGAAAATAAAATTAAACAAATACATAATGATGCTGAACAAGAACTTCGTAATTTAAACATAAACTATCCACAAACAAGCAGCCACACTATCACTACAACACAAAATACTCGGATGAAATGGAGTAATAATCATAACGAGGCAATAATACGGATTTATTTCCGCGTAACAAAATTAGAATCGAACAAGACAGGATATAGAAAACTACTACACAAAGAATTCATTAGTCAATTCCCCCACCTTACACAAATATCTGAGCAAAGAATAGCAGACCAAAGACGTGTTATTATTAACAATAAGTTAATTTCAGAGGATAGACTTTTATTAATAAAACAAGAAGTGGCCACAGAGCTAGATTTATCACCGACAATAGAAGAAAATATTAACCACAATAATATACAACAGACACAAACACAAGATAATGAAAATGAATTCTTACAAACAATAGCCTCGAATTATTTTCAAGAAAATCCATCAAACCCTGATACACAATCTAATCCTGTACAAACAAACTCAGAAATAGATGATACATTCCAAATGGCACTAGAATACTTTGTTAATCTTTATCCCACTAACAGACCCTATATACCTAAACAAAGAGCAACAAAAAAACTAGCTACTACAATTAATTATATAAACAATATACTATTGCCAAAATACATAAATAATGATACTAATTTTGATAAACTACACGGAATAATCTACTGTTCAGCATGGACAGCGGCAAAAATAAATGGTACAAAATTAAGAATCCCACCGATCGATACATTACGAACAAGACAAAATTCATCAAAACCGCAATGGCAAAAAAGATTAGAAAATAAAATGGAAGATCTGAGGGTAAAAATTAGTAGATTGACACAATACATAAATGGAAATAGAAACAGAAAACTTACAAAACATGTAAAAAAGATTCTAGTACAATATCATATACATTCTATTCATGAAGAACCTAACACACAACTGACGCACTTTTTAGACACACTTAAACAAAAATTAACGGTAGTAGCAAACCGTTTACGTAGATATAAAAACTGTACAAAACGTAAATTACAAAATATTCAATTTATTAACAATGAGAAACAATTTTACCGTACAATCAACAAAACTATATCAAACAATGAAAATAATATACAAACCGAAGTATTTCCTACACCATCCCCGGAAGAATTGCAAAACTTTTGGGCAGGTATATGGTCGAACCCAACCTCTCATAATAATGAAGCACTATGGATAAAGACTGAACAACTAAAATATGAACATATAATACCGATGGAGTATGACTCTATTTCATTTGAATTGTTTCATGAGGTAATCAACAAACTTCATAATTGGAAAGCAACAGGCACAGATCATATTCATAATTATTGGTACAAGAAATTAACCGTGACTCACATACTTCTCCACAAACACATCAATAATTTCATTCAAAATCCGGATACTATTCCTAAATTTATTACTGAAGGATGTACGTACTTATTACCTAAAGATCTTAATGATACCACAAACCCAGCAAAATATCGACCTATTACCTGCTTACAGACTATTTACAAAATAATCACATCGTGTATAACCCGAATTATTTATAATTATACAGAAAGTAATGACATACTAGCTGAACAACAAAAAGGATGCAGAAAAGCAAGCCAGGGTTGTAAAGAACAGCTAATAATTGATTCTGTGATCCTTGAACAAGTTCATAAGCGCAAGTCAGCTCTTTTTACTATGTATGTAGATTATAAAAAAGCATATGATACTGTACCCCATACTTGGCTGCTTAAAATCCTAGATATTTATAAAGTTCACCCGACTATCACAAAATTCTTACAAACAATTATGCAAAATTGGACAACGACCTTAAGCATAAATTCCTCAAATTTAACAACACGTACAGACTCGATTAAAATAGAAAGAGGCATTTTTCAAGGTGATGCATTAAGCCCATTATGGTTTTGCCTTGCCTTGAACCCTTTATCTAATATCCTTAATTCATCTAATACTGGTTATAAATTGAAATATAATATAGATATAGATGGACAGAGTGAGGAAAAAGAAGTTGCTTTAAGTCATCTTATGTATATGGATGACATTAAATTATATGGTTGTTCAGAAAATGAATTAAAAAACTTGGCTAGTTTAACTGAACATTTCTCAAAGGACATTAAAATGGAATTTGGTATTGATAAATGCAGAATTAACTCTGTCAAGGCAGGGCAAAATCATCAGCATTATTATCAAACGGAGACAGGTGATACAATTAACCCTTTAGACGAAAATGAAACCTATAAATATCTAGGATACAATCAATCTAAACATATACATCAAAAAAATATAAAGAATTCGTTGTCTCTTAAATTCAAACATAGATTAAACATTATACTTAAAACACAATTAAATTCACGTAATACAATAAAAGGTATAAATTCCTATGCAATTCCTATCCTAACATATTCATTTGGTATTATACATTGGACAAAAACAGATCTTAAATCTCTTCAACGCAACATTAGTACAACAATGACGAAACATAGAAAACACCATTCGCGATCATGTATTCAAAGACTGACACTACCCCGCAAAAATGGAGGCAGAGGATTGCTAGATATTATTAACCTACATAACAAGCAAATTACCCTACTTAGAAAATACTTTCATAAAAAAGAACTTATATCTGATTTACACAACGCTATAGTACAAAATGACTGTAAGCTAACCCCGTTAAATTTGCAAGATCACACAACACAAAATAATGAAAAGCAAACAGACATGCAAACAAAAATAGAAGAGTGGCGTGATAAATCCCTCCATGGGAGACATTACAGCGATTTATGCCAACCTAACGTCGATAAAGTAGCGTCGAATGAATGGCTAAATCGTGGGGTTCTTTTCCCGGAAACGGAGGGATTTATGATTGCCATACAAGACCAAGTGATCGAAACTCGAAATTACCAAAAATTCATTATAAAACAAAATTTAGTGACAGATTTATGCAGACGATGTAACAGTAATTCGGAGACCATACAGCATATTACAGGAGCTTGTAAATCCATAGTACAGACCGATTACAAATATAGACATGACCAGGTTGCCAACATTATTCACCAAAAATTAGCTCAGAAATACAAACTTATACCAGAAACATACACACCCTACTATAAATATACCCCTGATGTAATAGTTGAAAACAATACACACAAATTATACTATGACCGTGCTATCTTGACAGATAAAACTACACATTATAATAGACCTGATATTACCCTCCTAGATAAAATTAATCGCAAAGCATATATTATCGATATTGCAGTCCCAAATACACACAATGTACAGAACACTATAGCTGAGAAACTGGCAAAATATACAGATCTAAAGGACGAAATAACCCGCATGTGGCGTTTACAATCCGCAACCATAGTTCCAATAGTCCTATCTACTACAGGAGTAATCCCGAATCAGCTACACTTATCACTTAGAACACTTGACCTTCCGTGCTACACTTATATCGAATTGCAGAAGTCTATAATACTAAACACCTGTTCCATTGTTCGGCGATTTTTAACATCTAATCAAAATTAATTATTTGTACAATCTACGAGATACTTGGCAGCCAGCCCGTACTCGTAGCAATAAAGCCAACTATACGTTGAGTAAAAAAAAATCAAAATAATAATAATAATAATAATCTTTATTTGCTTAAACACGGTAAAGTTAAAGATGTTACATTAGTCAAAGAACATTCGTGCTTAGCTAACAATATTTTGATTTGATATTCTAACCTTTCTAACAATTGTTAGAAAGGTTAGAATATCCCTGAGTGCTAGACTAAGTTTTATTTCGATAAATATATATTTTTAATAATGAATCACAATAAATGTAATTGAAGTCGGCAAAAATTCTATAATATGGCGTGCGTTGCCAAAATGGTTTGGAATAAAAGAATACAATCTATATAGCAAAAATAATCTTTACTTTTAGCTTGACAAAAAAGTTACACGACGAGATATATGGTATATCTAAGTTTAATATCTCTGCTAAAAAATTGCTTTTATATTAAAAATAAAATAAATTTTATAAGCCATTCATTTTAAAATTTTAGAGAATATTAGTGCAGAACTTTCACACACACCAAAATACTAAAATGTATTGAAAAATTTAAAAATTATACAAATATTGCACCCGTGGGAAGCCGGGCGGGTCACTAGTAAATTATAGTGGATAGGTACAAGTACATAATTAAATCAATACAAAGTAATATAAATGATATTTCCTGTCTGATAATCATTTAGATTACGTTAATTTAAAGATATCACAAGTATTTAGAGATTATTGTTACGGGTAATAATGTAATAAGACAAAGTACTGCCATCTTTTTTATTATTAATAATATTCTTGTTTGTAATATGAATCAGATTAAGTAATAAATTTTTACCCAATTTGTGTTTTTACTGTTTTTACCCAATGGTTAGCTGGTAGAGAATGCCCTATGGCATTAAGCTCGCCATTTGTACAAAATTTTATTGTGCAATAAAGAATAAATAAATAAATTATTATACAGAAAGCGAAACGAATAATATTCCATAACAACATAATAGGCACTTATGACGAGCACATAAAGATATGACACGTAAATATTTATGTATTAGGTTAATATTTTTAAGTTATTTCTTCTTGAACTTAGAATAGCAAATAAGTTGACTATCCCCTTGAAACAAAAAAGTGACCATCGTTTACAAATGTGAATAGGTCCAACGAATATCCCACACACTGTGACAGTTCTGGTACTGTTATGATTCTGGTATATAGTAGCTTCTTATGCTTTTGTATTTATTACGATTTATCGTCATCATCATCATATCAGCTTTTAACTGTTCACTTTCGAACATAAGCCTCCCCCTAGGGGGGTTTTTCCAGTAGTTGCCACGCTCAGCAAGCGGATTGGTAGCCGCAATTAGGCTTTGAAAATGTTTTAAGAGGAACGCTGCTACCCATCCCTCGACCTCCCTTAGTCGCCTCTTACGACACCCACGGGAAAGGAAGGGGTGGCCTATTCTATGCCGGTACAACACGGGAATATACTATATTGTTATAATTAATATAGTATATTAACAAATAGTGCAATATTACCATATGTTATCCATCAATACAATACTTAGCAATGAAGTTTCTAACATTCACATTTATAATATTAGTAAAGATAAATAAAATGTAAATAATCAAATATATTTTCAAATTGCAGCATGCGCGAAATTATACGGCTACTGGATAGTAGTGAACTACCGCGAAGCGTACGGCATGTTCGCGTGTAACGGGCTCCTGTTCAACCACGAGAGCCCGCGCCGCGGTGAGAACTTCGTTACGAGGAAAATCACCCGCGGAGTGGCCAAAATAACACTTGGCCTGATGCCCTATCTGGAACTGGGGAATTTGGACAGCAAGAGAGATTGGGGACACGCTAAGGACTATGTAGAGGTATGTATCTAATTGATTTCAAATAGTGTAAGCAAAAGTAATAAAGTTTCTACCGTGAAGCAGTTATGTTTGCATGGCTGTGTTTCAGTTTGAAGGGTGGGATGTGGCGTGAATTTATAGGGTACAGAGGAATAACACCTGTGTCCTCAGGAATGGCAACGCATGGGGGGTATCAAGAGCGAAACAGTATACTCTGTTATGTCCATGGCACTGCTCATGTCTATAGGCGACGGTTACCATTTTCCATCAGGTGGGCCGTCAGCTTGTTTGCCATTCTAAGTTGTATAAAAAAAAACAAGTGCAGAAAATCACACTAATATATCATTTTATCATCATCATACCAGTCTATAACTGCTGAGCCAAAGCCCCCTTGGGAGGTTTTGCCAGTAGTTGCCACGCTTGACAGGCGGGTTAGCAACCGCAGTTAGGCTTTGGAGATGTTTTAAAAGAGATGCTGCTGCCCATCCCTCGTCGTTCCTCGTGTCGACTTACGACACCCACGGGAAAAGAAAGAATGATCTATTCTATGCCGGGACCACATGGCAATGTTATTTGTTAATCCAAAACTATTAATTACGTAATAAATTTAAAAGAGCAATATTTACAAATCAGTAATTGATTATATTGTTCCATGGGCCCATGCAGGCAATGTGGCTGATGATGCAGCAAGAGACAGCCGAGGACTTCGTGGTGGCGACAGGCGAGGCGCACAGCGTACGCGAGTTCGTGGAGAAGGCGTTCGGCTGCGTGGGCCGCCGGCTCAGCTGGCGCGGCGCCGGCGAGCACGAGACCGGCCACGATGCGAGCACCGACCAGCTGCTCGTCAAGGTCAACCCCAAGTACTTCCGGCCCACCGAAGTCGTAAGTGTCTCCGTCCACCAGGTGAACAACGCTTGATCACGATTCAAAGATCACAAGGACAAATCTGAGCCTACGTTAATAAGAACACTGAACAATCTTAAACAGCTTCATCTAGTCCCGAGCTAAACACATCTTGTACTTTTAACTATAGACAACTAACAGACAGCTAATTAGGTGTTTTTTTTTTAATATATAAACATACTAGCTTTTACCGAATTTCGAATTGTACCGAATTTGTACCAAATTTCGTATTGGTTAGTCATGTCGTTTAGACACAGAGAAGTAGCAAACAAACAAATTGACTTTCACATTTATAATATTGATAAGGATTGTTTTTATTTATTTATTACATTACATCTACTAGATAAGCTTTACAGTCTTCCAATATGGTCACCCAGGAAATCATCAGTACAATTATATAACTAGTACAATCATTATATTTAGAAAACCCCTAAACCGACAAACAGTCTTATGAATACAAATGTTTGTATTATACGTTTGTATGGAGATTTAACGCTAAACCAGATACAGTGTGTTAAATCGCTATACCAGAGTGCGCCACCCTCGTACGAGGCACGAACTAACTCCGCCATCTTAAAGTTATTTATATATCTAGGAAACATTTCCAGGATTTACTTCTGGGCGATTCGACGAAAGCTAGGCAGAAGCTAGGATGGGCTCCTCGCGTGACCTTCGATGAACTGGTCCGAGACATGGTGGAGGCGGATCTCGAACTGATGAAGAAAAATCCAGAGGCGTAGGTGACCAGGTTAGGTGTGATTGAGATTTGCATGCTTGGAATGATATGGTTTTAGTTTTTTTTGGTTTGTGCCTAAAAGATTATTTATTAATTTATTTTATTTACCAACTAAGGAACTTGACAGTTTCCCAATTCGCTCCCTTAGCAATCACAATATATGAAACATAAAATTTAATTATTAGACACTTTCTAAATAATTTATTGCCATTCTCGAAACTCGACAAGTTTACAAGTCAATATATCCAAGTTCGGATATTGGCTTATGACACCGTTGAGCAGAGTGAATGCCAGTGAATGAGGAACCTAGGGCCTACCATAAAATGTTTATCGAAATTTCGGGTCCGAACGAAACACAAATTTGATGCTGAAATTACATGATACATACCGTTTAAAAATATTAAAAATGCTAAAGTATCGTTCCTTTGGACTTTTATAGTAGCATTTATGACAAACGAAATGTTAAGCTCCGTTTACTGGGTCGATTTCGGTATGAACAAAAACACGAAATTGAGTTCAAAAGTTCGGAATTTCATTTCATGGTAGAACCCCTGTTTTGCTAGCTCTATTCTTCTCAACGGAACATGGAAAAAATCAAGCAATTATATGATATTATATTGTACTGTATTTTTACATAAAAATTTCTTAAATTTTGTTGATATTATGCAACATTATTATTCATAATATGCATGAATGCTTGAGATCCTTTAGGTTTATTTAATTGTCAATATATCTATATTATTATATTTTAAAATTCTATATAGTATCAAAAATATTTTTTTTTTATTTTCAGAAAATGTGCTGCATTTGTGAGTACGATGGACGTCGACTCTGCTGTCGTGCACAATTCTGGTCAGCGACGCTGTGTGCTCTCTTCCTAACGAGAGAAACAGCTGCTAATCTACGAAATAAAAAAAAAAATTGGGTGGTGCTTGAGAATGACTAAAGGAAGTGAAACTTCTATAAAGCTATTGTACCCCTGTAACGTTATGTTACATGTTGCAACGCATCACGAAATTGCGACAGATTTAAGACTTTTTTATGCTTTTATCACGCTCCACATATACTGTCATAGAGGCTCAAATATATAGGCGATATATGATATGTAATCATGCAATATCTAAAATATAAACTTATATTTATACAAGATTTGTCATAATGACTATATACAGCCGAAGCCAGTTGTTGTAGTTGATAATATTTATGACATGAGTATTAACAACTTATATAAATATTGAATGTGTTAGATCCTAACACGGGCAAAATTGTACAAGTGACATAGAAAACATATTAATTTAAAATTTATTCCAAATAAAATTAAATCAATATCTAGTTTTAATATCAACTATTAATACATTGTTGTAAAATTATTTCCTTATGTAACACAGAAAAGGACATAGATAAGTTAGAATAAATGTCTCCACCGTAGAAAGAGGACCGCAAGGTACTGTTCTTAGTCTATGGTCTCCACCTACATATTTTGTAAATGTAAACCGTCGGTAGTGAATTTTTTTTTTTTCATAAGTATTGGGCGGTAACAATATTGATTTAATATAAAAAACTAAAAAAATCCTTTCGAGTTTTCAACTACGAATCCGTGTGACCCATTACGATTAACTCCGTTTATTGTGACATATAACATGTTATGGAATATTATACGCTGGCGGAGCACCAGTGAAGGGTGATAGATGACAATGAAAACAGGCCAGTTAGCCCATCATGACAAATTCACCAGGAATTAACCATGATAGTTTCCAGGGAGAACCGTGTTATGGAATATTAGAATATTCCATAATTTACTTGGCATATTTATTACATAATCTTGGCTTGTCGTTTTATTATCGTAATTAGTCACCTAAAAAAGTAATAGCCATGAACTATGCAATAATGTACAATCAACACAAACACCTTGTTATTTGGTGGCCTTGATAATATTTTTCCATTAAATATTTTTAAAATTTGACAAACATGCTAGCTTAGATAATATAGATAGAGCATTCAACTTTAAAAACGGGTCAAACTTTTTGTCAGCTAATTGTCAAATTAGCTGACTCGTTTTTTTATTGATGATAATTTTAAATTATTCGTTTTTAAATTAATTTAATTATTTAATAAATAAAAAGAGTTTTGCGCATTAAAAAGGTGCAGAATTTATAAGACAAAATAAATATAGAAGTTATAAAGGAATCACTCATAACTATTTATTACGCAAAATTTTATGAAAGACATGACCCACTTTTTTCAAAGCATTTGTATGGAGACTATCTATATAATCTAAGATGCCAAGTATGATTACCAGTAATAAGTCTTAGGTCAATGATATATATAGTTGTAAATAATCAATTTTAGAGTAATGTTTATTCTTGTTATAAGTCCTTCATATTTGCTTGGTGCTGTTTGACAAAAACCGAGCTCAAAAACAGAACTCAAAATATGTAAAATTTGTATATTAATTTACGTAAAATTTTCTACATAATCCGTCATGATACTTCTTTAATCTTTACTACTTAACATAAAACTTTACTAGGCACTAAGCTCAGCAGTTTACGCTAGAAAAAAAAAATTGCATGTTTAATTAATGTAATTCCAGTTGCGAAAAATAGCTACTGTTAATTTGTGGTTCTGTTATTTTTTATTTATTTTTTAACACTATTTTAAATCCAAATTACAGTTGTATACACTTTTACACATTTTATAAACGAGATATTTTATATCTTGATGAGTTTATACTACTTAGTAATTACTGATAAGGACTTAGCTTGACTAGTGTCTTATTTACACCCACCTCATCGCCAGTCGATGGGGGGGGGGGGGGGGGATTAAGTTGCCTATTTTACACGAATTATTAACACTGAATTTAACAATTTTTGAAACGCTAAGGATACAATATTGGTATTTACATTTATACAACATTACATTTTATTTATATACAACGGGGTTTTAAGTTCCTAAGATGCTTGCATCGAAATATCCGGTGTTCGTTAAAATATCGAATCACGTCAAATATCTCGTTTGTAAAATATGTACAGTGGCCTTTTAATTTGTGTAGTAAATGAATTAATGTGGATAACTATGAATTATACATGTGAATATATAATGTCAATTTCTCACATGGAATAAATACACAAAGGATTATAATAATCAATTTTAAACAAATCCATAATTCAACGACAAATTATTGAAAAAAAGAAAAAAAAATACACAGTTTTTCTCTTTTTATTTCGAATATGTTAATATCAATATTTTTTAACAATTTTTTTATAGTTTAGGTCTATCTACTTTGATAATGTCCTCTTCAAACGTAGGTGTAAACTGTTCCTTTTATTCTTAGCTGGACAAAAAATATAATAAATATAATGCATTTTTTTATTAAAGCCTTTTTTCGCCACTGCTTTAGTTATTTAGTCGAGTGGCGAATATTTTAGTAAAAAGTTAACTTGATTAATTCATTATAATTGTGACCAGTATAATTATGACATAGATTTATTATCACGAAATAAATGTAGTAGGTACTTACATTCCATGAAGGTCAAGTGAAACCACAATAATTTTAAACTACTCGTATCTATTTACATACAAATAAACTATTGGTAAGCGCACTTGAAAGTGGCTAAATAAAAGTGGATTTTTTTTATGAGCGTAATAGTCCAATTGAGGAATTTAGAGAGTAAAAATCATATTTGGATCATATATCTAACCTTGTTCTATATTGTTTACTAGAGATCCGAATTCTCACGAGTAGATAGAATTTTCAAAAATAATATACAGCTTATGTTATTCGTTGGTAATGTAGTTTTCAATACGTGAAAGAAATTTTAAAATCGGTCGATTCGTTTTTTTTTAATCTTTTACAAAAAACTAAAATCTTTCCTCTTTATAATATTAATATAGAAGTATAGATATACAATATAATAATAAGTAACTTTAAAATGTTAATATATAATTGTATAGCTACGTATATAATAATATTGAAATGTAAATAAAGGTCCGTGTAAATATTTTCACATTATGTTCAATTGTTCACAAAGAAGATATTAAACTGTATTTACTATATCATTGTGTTATTTTTTTAATATTATTATTATAAAAATGGTGTCGTCGATACTTTTAAGACATATGACTATAAATGGAGGAGAAAAATGTAAATGAGCAATAAGAATATAATATTTTTACCTACCAACCTTTATTCAGAGATATGAGGGAAAACGAATCTATATATTTAGATATAAAAATTTCCGGCCCTCCAAAGTGTCTCTGCTGTCTGTTCATCAGGTGCACGACGCTTCTCCGCGATCCAAAGATCACAAAGACAATTCTTAGTCTACATAAATCTAGATTTGTAACGATTTAGTCCCAAATTAAACTCATCTTGTACTTGGGGTACTATAGACAGCTGACATAGTTAATTGGATATTCTTAAAAATATAAATATGTAGAAAACTCTCCGATCGAAGATGATGCAGTACGTTAAATCGCCACCATCATACGAGACACGAACTAACTTTACTACACCATCTTATGGTTATATTTTTATCTTCAATTTTATCATTTTACTGTGATTCGACGAAATCTTGACAGAAACTAGTGGTCTCGCGTGACCTTCGATAAGCTAGTGCGAGACACAGTGGACGTTAATCTGGAATTGATGGAGAAAAATCTAAAGGCGTAGGTGACCAAAATCCTCTAGACAAGGGAACTATAACTGAAGATTACCTGAATACTGAGAGGATGAACGTGCTTTCTAGTTCTAACAGCGTTAATTTTTAAATTTAATTATGAAATTTTATATACATCAAATATCATATATACTATTGAGGTTATAACTAAACATGTTATTTTATATATTTTTTAAGAGAAATGAAAAATGTTAAATCTCAAATCAAAGTATATTACACATAAGATTCTTAACAAATCACAGTAATTTTAAGAATAAGACTTATTTATTAATTTCTATAGATAAGACAGAAACATTTTAAAATTATTTATTGACAAACGATAATATGAATTAAAATTGACAATAATAAACAAATTGTAAAAATTAAATGTCATACTTTGCATTTATAATAATACATAGAAATTATCTCCATAATCTTGTTGGTAAATGGAAAAATAATAAGAAGTAAAACATTATTTTAAATTATTTACAATTATATATAAATTATTAAAACGATGCATTGAAATTATCGAGGTCGACATACATTATATAGAAACAAAAATAAATTTAAAACTTAACTGTAATGCATTGGTAATGCATTAAATGCATAAAATATCTAAAGACAAAGCAGATGTAACTTTTAAAAAATGTCTTAAGAAATAAACATGAACAAACAATTAAAATAGTTAAAAGTAATTAATGCAAAACTGATGTTTCTTTTAAAAATATATGTTGTACTTATTTTTAAAAGAAAAATCTGTGTTAATAAGTGTAATTGTATAAGATTTCATTTGGCACTTAATCTTTATATACATTTACACAATTTCACACACTACAAAATACGGTAACAAATAATTATTACAATAAGGCCCGCCTTGGTGGATAATATTTTTTGTGATAATTCATGTTTTACATGCGTATTTATTAAAGACAGCATCTTCATTAATCATAAATACTTGTCTAAAACTAATTTTGTACTTTATTTTACTCCCTATTCGAAGAACCATTTTTTTTTTCACTTTTAAACAGTATTTTTAATGATTAAACGTTAAGGTTTTATAATATCTTTATATCATTTCCATCATTATCAATTAGCGAAGTATGGCAACATCGCAATTACCCGTCAATTTAGAACTAAAACGTTGATCGTAGAATACGTTGCATACAAATCTATCACTAAAAACTTTGTATCCACTTCATATACGCTTCACGTTTGCATTTTTACTATCAAAATGTTTAGTGATAACTTAATAGTATTTCATAAGTAACATTTTAGTATGCTAGCAAAGCATTTTTTAAGTAGTCTATCTGAAACATTGAGAATTATTATTTTTTAAAATTGACAGATAATTGCAATGTTGCCACACTTCGGCAAGCTAAAGTTTTTGGTCGCTCTTAACTGATACATGCTCAGCACTGTTTTTTAAACTACTAAAGTAACAAACAAGTATAGAGCCCATTTACTATAGGCTTTGGACGCTTGTAACAGGCGCATTGTGCACTCGTTGCTGACCCAGTGTGTATGGGGGAAGGTATTGTTAATAATGCGGACCACCAATCCCATTGCTAGCACTGTAGGGAAACCCTGTTTTCAATTGATCATGAGCATCGATATAAAAAAAAAGCCAAGATGTACAATATGAAATTAAAGAAAAGGCATTACTTGAGCAGATCAGGGGGAGAGGGATTGTTAGTAATGCGGACTATCAGTTCCATTGCTAGCAATGTAGCCTATCAGGTCGACCTTTACGTGCCCCCCCCCCCCGAACCTATCGTGCTGAATCCCATGTGTATTCATCACAATTGACTAACTGACCTGCCCTTTTATCCTCAACTAATATACGTCACTGGTGTCCCACCAGCATATATCGTTAGCATTCCATTATCATCCATTAAAAAAAACTCAAGCAGATTATGAATTAATTTATAACTATTAGTCCGATGTTATAAAATTATTATTGTAAAAATATAAAGAGGCTAAAGGTACTTTCTTTTTTATATCTTAGTTTACCTTTAAATTGGAAATATGCATCTTGTTTAAATTTTTGTAATCAATTACCTATTTGTAAAAGGTTCAAAAATTTGTTTTGTATTTCAACATATTTCATGCCACTTCAAGAAAGTTTAGTTTTACAATGACAATAGCTGATTTTTAACTTGTTTCCCGTCACAAAAACACGGTGTGAAGTCAAATGTAAGTGTTCTACCAGCAAAAACGTAAGATATTTCCTAGGAAATATTGGTCGACAAATGTTAAAAAGAATTAGGGCCGGCCGTACTAATTTTACTACTAGAGACGCCGATAAATGGAAAGATCAATTTTTGTCAATTTACGACCCATGTTTGTTTGTAATGTTTCGTTGCACTTGTAAATCGCTCTTTTAAAAGGATGATAATGATTTTAAATCCATACAATAATGCAAACACTATTAATGTATAAGTATAGAACGCAATAATTAAAGCGGTCTAATACGATTTATTAAGTTTTCAACAGAGCTTGCTATTTGTCACGTCCAGTTTTTGCCTCAGGACCCCTCCCAAAATAAACTCTGTAGATACAATGGTAGCACCTCTTTGTTTCAACGATGGCCAAAGGCTTTTGTCTGCTGAACATGACACACACATCCAATTTGATCCACCTTCCTTCCAAGAGCCGCCAGAACACTCGACGATTGCTGTAACACACGATAGATTCACTTTAATACACATATAGTAATCTTAAGACAAACATCATCATATTTAGGGCTTATACTAATGCTTATATTTTATAGGTTTGTTTGAGACATATAATTTCATAAAAAAAGACTAAAAATGTTTTCATCACGTTTTTAAAGTATAACATATTGTATAAATATTGTATAAATTGCATGTTACATTTTTACATGTTCAATAGTATACTATACTATAAATATATATACTATAAATATATATACTATAAATATATAGTAAATGTCTGCAATTTCTTTTGGGCACTATTCACAATTTGAAAACATGATTTTTCAACTTGAGGTCAGAGCCTTGCTGTAGTCTGTCCAGATGCGGAGTACTTTGTCTGCGGGTACAATTTCCATCTATGTTTGTTGAGTCGGGTAAAAGTGAACTAGATTCAGCTTTAGAGATAAATAAACCATTGTTTTAAATTACTGATAATATAATATAGTAGCACTTGTGACGGTTATGAATTCAGTTAAGATTTCAATATTTCAATGTTTGAATTGGCTGCTAGGAACAGTTTGTATGGGGAAAAGAGAAATGAGGTTTTACGTTTTGCCAGTCATTCGGAAGTTTTGCGCTAAATAACACATTTGGAAAATAATTTTTATTTATAAAGACTAGTAGTAGAAGTTGTCTAGCGAATAGAAGAGTTATGGACACATAAAACTTACATTTCATCTCCGAAGCATTCGGCATCACATTTGGAGTGGATGAAATGTTGTAGCCCTTTAAAAAGTTTCGCTTGCTGCGAAGTGTTCGCTCCAGATTGAATTTAAACCTAGCTTCTGCAGCTTCATCTTTTATGAGGTGGAGCCATGGATCTAAAATAGTTGGAAAAAAGCATAAATGTATAATGTACTTTCTAACACAAGTGCCACAAATGACTGTTCGTCAACAATTGACCTGCCCGCACCATTCAGTGTGAACAGACAGATATGAGAGATCTCTGCCAATAGTATTCACTTCTACATTTATATATATATATATATTCTTTATTGCACAAAAACATACAGTAACAACAATAAGTTAATAACAATGTTAGCAAAGGCGAACTTATCTCTAAAAGAGATTTCTTCCAGTCAACCTAACGCAGTGGCATAGGAAGTAGTGAGTGGGCAGTAGTAGTGCAAGACAGAAATTTAAATAAATATTTACATAAATTATAAATAATTATATATATACACATACATTCACATATATACATACATACACATACACATATATATACATACACACATACACATACATACACACGTTAAATACAACATATAAATATCAGATAAAAGAGAACACAATGATGACAGTCTTCTAATTCTAATAATTCTTCTAATTTTTATATTTAAATTAAATTGGAAAGATAAAATGATAAATGATAAAATTATAATATTAGTAAAAAGAGAGTTACAAAACAATAAAGTTCCAATGAAGCTAAAAAGCAGATACAGAAAAAAAATACATAAATATTCTTATAAAACATACCAACAATCCTTTTAGTATCAGCACAAGCTTGAACCCAGTCAGCGCCGACTATGGGCTTCCCCAAGCCCACCGCGCACAGCAGTTTGAATGTTCGCCTGATGCTCAGAGTCAAGAGCACAGTGCAAGCGGCCACATCTGTTACTACTACAGCACCTGTTAAATTAACAACACAACCAAATGTTATATTGACAAACAATACAGATGGAGTGGGAAAAGAAAAAAAAAACCGTTAAAGTCGTCTGCATGGGTAAACCACCACCAAATAATTCTGTCTGCATGGCTTATTTAAACTGATTGATATCGCAGTGAAAGTACAAGTGAAGCCACCCCGATACACAAGGTGGAGCCTTTTAGTTTAATAAAATATAAGGTACAACACTCACTGGCAGGGGCGTAGAAAGAGATTGTTAATAATGAAAACTAGTAACCCCATTGCTAGCAATCTACCCTATCAGGTTGACCTCAATATCATCTTGATTAATTTTTGGCAAGTCCATCACAATTAGTCAATTGAACCGATTTCATCCTCACCTATTGTAATTCACTTATATACCAACAGCATATACTAATAGCATTGACTACTATTTCATTATGTTACTAAAAATACTCATTGTCCAAGTAAATATTTCCTGGAGTGATGACATATCTAGATTGGGTTATATAATAAGGTATGCGTATAACACCTTAATCCTTTAGAACAGTAATGCAATAATATGACATATATTTGATGATATCCATAATGTTGTTTATGACAACAGGAAATGGTTATCAGATTTCATCAGCTTGTTTGTCATTCCAATTTACATAAATAAAGTAAACCTGTGAACTAGTTCATTTTTTTAAAGTAATTTTACCAACCTCTTTGTCAATGTTATGACACTAACCTAGGTTTTCCAGCTTCAACTTCACTTCTTCACACGGGAAAGCCGTAAATAGAACATATTGTGTTTTTAATATTCGTGCCGGTGTTGCTCTTAGAGATATATTGCCCGCAGATCTTTTTCGTTTAGGGCTTGGCGCTCTAGATGTATCCATTGCAGATCTCTTCAGACTCATAGTCACATCTCTGTCAGACTCAGATGATACATTATACACTGTACTTTTTTCATGTTGAACTGACCTACTTCTTTTATTAGGTTTTGTAATTTTAACCTTTATAATAGAATCCTCCTTTTTGTTTCTTTTCTGTCTCATACTTCGTCTTACTTCTTTTTCGCCATCTGGCAGTGACTGCATTTTATCTACAATTTTATGCACTTGTTTCCTACTTGATTTCTCGATTTCATTTCGTTTCTTTGATTCAGTTCTATCTATTTTTACATTTTCCTCTTTAACCTTTACACTAACTTTATTTTCGGATTCCTCCTTCTTTTTAGAACTGCGTGTACTTCTTTTACTTTTTTCATTATTAGAATCAATTACTAAACCATTTACTTTTTTTTCTGAAGATGACGCTTTATTTTTCTCTCTAGAAGTACTAGGGTTATCTACATTTTTTTGTTGGCCATCTCTATTTTTTTCTATGCAAGTTTTTTTAGATTCAGATTTCATAATATCTTTACTTTTATTACTGCTACGAATATTATTTGTACTTCTATTATTGATATTATTTTTTGACTCTGAATTCAATTCATATTTTTTGTTGTTTTTCATTTTTACATTCTCACTTTGAAGTCTTAATATATTTTCATTTATGATGTCTTCATTTATGTTATCATCTTGTTCTGTTAAAAACTTGGGTTTTAGAATATTCTTAATCTGGGGGTCAGTGTTTTGAATTTTCGCGGTAGGTTTCCGTATTCGTGAGAGGACTCTGGTTGGTAAACCATCTATATTTAACTTATTTGATAAATTTTGCTTCGCATTTTGTTTTGAATCTACCTTAGATCGTTTCTTTTTTCGTAACAAAATTGGGGTATATTGTTCTTCAAAGTCTATTTCAGTTTCAGAATCACTGGATGAACCTATAAATGTGTCTTTTGGTTTTATCAATGTGACACTGGTTTTTATTTCTTGGCTATTAGGTAAATCAATATCTAAGAATCTAAAAGGTTTTTTTTTCGGTGTAACATCTACATCGGAAGAATCACTTGATATTTTTTTAAATTTTGCAACATCTACACCAATCACTTCTCTTATTTGTTGGCTAGACAAATTTGATGGTGAAATTATATTAAGGTCATTGTTGAAAATTGAGTTTTCCGAAGTAATGTTTTTCTTTTTCGGTGATAAGTTATCCAGACCCGGTAACTTATCATCTGTCTGATATTCTTCAACAGAACATGGCACAAAATCATTATCATTTGATTTTGTTTTTAAATCATTGTTATTTATTGCATTATCAGGTTTTGGTTTAGCAATTTCTAGAGAATGTTGTGCTTGAGTACATAAGTCATCTAATATTTCTTGAGTTGCTGTATAATAATTATCTGCATCGGTAATGTTAAATCCATTAATTTTAGAAGAGTTATTTAAAACACGTTCCTTTAATGGGTTTACTACTGAAATATCTTTTCTTTTTATTTTTATAGGAGATTGTAGAGGAATTTTAAATGGACTTATCCCATTTGGATTATCTGATATGATTAAGTTTTCATTAGAAATGTCTTTATTAAGTGGAATATCATCATACAATATTTGTGTAGGTAAATCTTCATAATTAATTCCATTATTTTTATTTTTACTTTCTTCTGCATTTAGAATTTCAATAGGGTTTTCTTTAACATTTATTTTATTACCACATCTATTACTGGATTCATTGTCCTCAATAATTTGTGTAGCCATGTCTTCAATATTCTGTTTATTATTTGATGTAATATCAGGGTCATTTTCATCAATTATTTGAGTCAACATATCTTCAAACTTTACTTTTGTAGTTTCACTTTCATTCAATTCATCTTCACAATCAGTAACATCTTCATCTAAGGGTGGTTCAGGTAGTTGCTGTGTGGGTATTATTTCTATATCTTCAATATCCGTGGAACTATCTGACTTAAGAGGGCCATTTCTTTTTTGGTTGGATATTAAAACTTTTGGATATTTTTTATCAGATTCCAATGTGACAGTTACTTTTTTCTTGCCATTATCAAGAAATTCTGGTAACAAAGATTGTGATTCAAAATTATCTTCAAATAGATCATCGTTGATTTCTTCAAATATAATTTCTTCTTCAGAAAGATTTGTTTGAGAATTATTTGGTTTATTCTCTAATACATTTGTACTTTTAACATTTGGCACCACTGGAATAATTTCTTTTTCTTCTATATGTTGTGTAGCTGCATCATGTATATCACGATAGGTTTCTTTATCTGTCGTTGATAATTTTTTTAATTCAGAATTTAACCTTATTGGAAATATTTGTTCTTTTTCAGGAGTATATTGTTGTGTCTCAGCTTCAAAAATATTATTGTCGTTACCATTTGTTGTGAACAAGTTAAATTGCATTTCATATTGATTATTTATTTTACATACTTCTGGCAGATTATCATCTCCAGTTACAGGCAACTGTGTTGAAATATTGTGTATAGATGGCGAAGAATTAAGGATTGGTAATTGAGTGTCAGCTGTATGAATAGAATCTGCATTTTCATTATGTTTTACTTCAAGTTGTGGTTGTGTTTCCATTTCATTTATATTCAATCCTACAGGCTGTATAGAAATTATCTTTGCTGATTGTTTAATGTAATTTGTATTGGAATTTCTAAATGGTCTACTTCCTTTTGGTTGTGAAGGTGCAATAAATGAGTCATCCTGAAAATACATTTTTTTTTTATTAATTTACAATAGATAGTAATTTTATTTATATAAGTAAATCATAATCTATAATATGAATATACCTAGTCTACCTTGTGTATATGAAATGAACATACCTTGTCACTAACATCTGGAGACTCGGGTATAGTAGTAATTGGCACATTATTTATTCTTGATATGTGACGATATGTTATAGGTGTTTCAGGAATGTCTAAGGCCTGGGTCATAGGCAAATCAGTATCTTCTTCGAGTACTCTGAACACTCCAAAGACATCACCAAACTGCACCATGTCACCATTCTTGAGGGGATGGGGAATGTATGGTTGAAGGGTTTTCTGTAATATGTATGTAAATATCATCAAGCAAGACATGTGCAAAACCTCTCAAAATAGAAATATAATAAGATCTTACACATTTGTTGCATTCATTTGATATTTTTAACAAGTTTTTACAACAGCAACTAATTATATTATAAAATTTTTATTAACTTTTCACTAATATTAGAACTAATGAGTTTTTGTAAGTTAAATAAGATATATGAAAAGCATATATACTTACATTCATCAATTTGGTTTTATTTGCAGAATCCAAATCCATCAGCATGAAGTCTGTTTTATTTAAAACATTAATAACAGCATGTTGTCGTGATATAGACTGAAATTAATTTATAATATATTAGTCAGTACAATATATAAAACTGGTATCTGATAATCAGATTCTGGTTATCCAAAAGATATTTATTCAAAAGATCTCCTAAATTGTTTAAAATAGACTAGAACTGTATTGTTAACTGTGTAGCTGTAAACATTGCTTTGGACTTAACATCACTATTAACAGTTATACCCTATCAGGCATTCAACTATTTTAAAACAGGTAATTAGCAATTATATAAATATCAAAATATCAATACATTTAACATCAATAAAATATCACATAAATACTATAAATATAGATACTAGAGATTTATCGAGCAAGAATGAATGGAGATGTCGGTAGGGGCCGCCCTAGACGGACGTATGTTGACCAAATAGGCGACGTGCTGAAGAAGGGCCAAATTAAAATTACCCGTAACTGGCGAGCGTGTATGAAAAAATTGATGAATGTGGAAGAAGCGAAAGAGGTTTGTTTGAATCGAAGCATTTGGTGTTCCATTGTTTCTGCCTACCCTAATGGGAGACAGGCGTGACAGATATGTATGTATGTATGTACTATAGTACATACAGTAATATAAAACCTGCCTACTTATATAATAAATGTTAAAATAAATGAATATACTACCTACATTAGAAATTTAGTTTAATGATTTTAAGATTTTAATGCAACAAGATGAAATGTTATTTATAAAAAAAGGTTTTTATCCCTCAGCATACTTTTTAGTCTAATCATAAAAAATATTTAAAATTATGTAGTACAATGCAATAATGTTGTAAGCACATGGTTTCATTATCACCATCATTATCACATCAGTCATTATCTGTCTACTGCTAAACATAAATCGATAGTAAAATTGATGCTGTATAATTCATTGGTCGAATCTTATGTTCAATATGGGTTGTCAAGTTATGGCCGCAACTATTGTATCTCCCAAAATTAAGATGCAGTATTATGACGATGATACTGCTCTTTTTCGACATTGCAATATTTTACCTGTACATCTACAATTTAAATACACATTTCTTAAGGAAAACTTTTTTAACAAAAAAATATTGGAACGAAATTAATCATGCTGTATATACGAGGGCGGTCGCACGGAAGCAACTTTGTACCAATAGCGCTCGCGTAAATAACTGTTATGGTGAGCGTACGGCTAACTACCTGGTTCCTCGATTTATTAACGAACTACCCACGGATGTACGAGATAACATTACTATTAGCAACATCAAGTATAAATTAAAATGATACTTCTTGCATGGTTTTAATACAATTTAAATGTGTGTGCGTGTGCGCGCGTGCGCGCGTGCATGTGCGTGTGCGTGTGCGTGTGCGTGTGCGTGTGTGTGTGTGTGTGTATAAATAATTATGACACTGCCTTTGCCCATAAGGGGTTGCCACTCAAGAACCTTTCTTACATGCACTTTTAGTGCATGACTTACATAAACAGAAATTATTATTGTCCATCATGTGCATAGGTCTTTTCTGTTATAATTTTCATAACTTACATTCAATTGTAGAACAATGTTACATGTCTGTGGATCTCTGCCAATTTTGTTTGGTCCATGTTTCACTGGATGTTTTGTTCCACATATCCCAATAAATCCAATCTGAAAAACATAATGAGATAAAATATATAGAACAAACATATCATGATTTGGATTGAAATTAACAGTAACATAATATTACATTATTAGGCAGTTAAACTGTTCCCAGATAGCTTTAATTGCTACTATCTGCAATTCTGTAATGAAAACTTGTTTTTCTTAAAACAGCAAAGAAATCCGGTGCCCTAGCTGTGCGAACATGTTGGAAGCACTACAGAAACTTGATTGTTTCATTATTATATGGAAAGCATCATTATATTAAATTTATAAAGTACTGAGCTAGTCCAAAGTTGATTATTAGAAGTTTGTGCAATATGTTTGAAACAGTATGATTTTTACATCACCACTGCATCTAGAAAATCTTATGGACAACATGCTGTATCGCGCAGATAAGGACCATCTCTCTCACTCCATATCTAAATCATCAAATGGGTTATCTGCAAGAATATGACCCAAGTATTTGAAATGCTTCAACACCTGAATTGGCAAGCCATTCAACTTCAACTCAGGAATATTCTCCAGACCCTTCTCATCCCCAAACACTAACATTTCAGTTTTAGAAACATTATATTTCAGACCATGAGAATTTGTATACTTTTCACACACAGAAAGCAGTCTCCTTAAATCTTTGATAAAAGGTCTGAGAAGCACTATATCATCTGCATAACTGATGCCATTTACATAGACAATATCAATATGACATCCAACTCTAGTTCCCCTCAGCTCCTCTATCGGGTTGTTTATATAGAGATTGAAAAGGTCTGGCAAAGTCAATCCACCTTGATGGACTCCACAATCTAACCTATAGTCGCCAGATTGTGAGGCACCTCATCTAACATTATTGGTTTGTTTCTCGTACCAATATCTCGGCAGATATGTCACCTTTTTAGGAATTCTCGAACATTGTAACTTTGACCAGAGAATGTCATAATGCACTAGGTCTAAGGTCTTGCTAAGGTCCAAAAAACATGGGTATACTGAAGTTTGTCTAGTTACATAATAATTGACAGTATGTTAACTGTTTACTTCCAAACAAGTTAGTAAACTTGTTTGGAAGTAAACAGCAGCAAAACAGCCTTACTTTTAAATCAGGCCTAAATAATATTGATTCTTTGCTGTTTTTTAAACTATTAGCAAACATATCTGCAATTAAATTTCCTTTAAAGTAACCACCTACACTTCCAGGCAGTTTGTGATTGAAATTTTTTGTCTCAGAAATTATTATAATATATCCATTTTTATCCTCTCCTGGTTTTTTCATATCATTTAAGTTTGTTTTTTTTTAAAGCTTGCGACTCTAATGCATTTATATCTCCAGAAGTAGGTTTATCTGCTTTCAACTAGTAATAATAATTTCTATGCACTACCTGATGACTCACGAACATGATATTTCCATCCAGAAATAGTCGACCTATTAAGTTTGAGATACATTTGTTTACTAGTCTCAATTGAGGTTTCAGTTGATATATCATTATAAAAATTGTCAATAAAAGTACAAGATGCGAAATTTACGCAATTTGTGTAATTACAGCTAGTATCACAGTAATTGCATTTTAACTTATCTGCAATTTTACCAAATTTTAGAGGTAAGGGAGTTTTAGTAAAGGGGAAGTTAGTCTCTATTGCTATCAATATATCTCATCAGGTTAATTTCCACACGGTTCCCCCTGGAAACCATCGTGACTAATTTATCATTGAATTCGTCATGATGGACTAACTAACCTACCTTTTCATCCTCACCAATCATCTCTCACTGGTGCCCTGCCAGTTTATACCGATAGCGCTGACGGGGTAACGTTTCACTGTCATCCATTAAAAAAGAGGTAAAAGATGTAAAATTATGTTTATTTTTATAAACCGCCATATTCAATTATTAAAAGTGTATTATATTGAGCTTTAATTAATAGTAAGGCTCAATATTTTATAACAAAATAGTGTTTACTAACTTGTTCTGGACTGGTCTTTTCAGTCCGGGATTCATATAATTCTTGTGTAAACTCCAATCTTTGAGTACACTCCATTTTTAGGAAATTATTTAATAGTCATAATTACAAAATTACTTTCTGAGTACGAATTTTCTTTTAATGCCTATTAATTATATTTATAAACAATAAAGTAAAAGTTAAAATGCGCCAAAACAATCCAAATGTTATAAATATTTTGGGTTGCCAAATGCGATTATTTATATTGACCCAAATGTCAAATACTTTTTCTCCAACTCGTTGTGGCATGAATCACAAAATGAATGACCAAAAAAGAAACTGTAAAAAAGAGGTTGTACACGGCCATAGACCTACAGCTCAATTAATTAGAAAAATAAATACTTTTGTTTTGTCACTAAAATAATCTCTGCAACATTGTACGTAATAAAATATTAAATAACATTATTGGTCTCCCGTAAAACTCCACATCCATCAGAAACTACTACTGCTATACAGTTTATATGTACCAATATTACAAAAAAAAAAAATACTCAGAATTCTCTGATGCCACTTCATTTATCTCCAAAATTTTCTCCAAGAAATAATTTCTCCAAAATTTTGCTTTCAGATACATGTTTATTCAAAAATATGAAAAAAATATACCCAATCTGGCAATGCTGCCCTTATTTTCTCTTTGCGAGTTAAGCAAACATCTGTATTTACTGGTAAATATTTTTTTTAATGGGTGAAAATGGAATAGTAACTCCGCCTGCGCTTACGGTATACACTGGTGGGGCACCAGTGAGGGATGATAGATAACAATAAAAAAAAGGCAGTTGAGTTAGCCCATCGTGATGAATACACTTGGAATTCAGCACGATGGTTTCCAGAGGGGACCACGGGGAGGTCGACCTGGTTGGATATATTGTTAGCAATAGAGCTCTTAGTCTCCATTACTAACAATCCCTACCCACCTACTGGTGAATGTTTAGGTTAAAGCAGTTGAATATGTTTATCTGATGAAATTAAAACAGACGCTAATTTTTACAGATGCATTGAGTTCATTGCAAAATTTAAAAAAAATTTCCTTTCAAAAACAAAAATATCCACCCTTTAATTTACGACATAAAACTGTTGTTATATGAAAGTGTTCAAAAAGACTATCAAATTATTTTTTATTTGAATCCATTGCAATATAACAGGGAGTAAAAAAAAAAACAGATCACCGTGCGAGTTAAGCCTTGGTTTCTGGCGACCTTTTCCCTTTTTCGAACTATTTTATCGATCTTTTATCACTACCTAGTCACTTACTCATGGATACATGGAAAGAGATTTGGGCCAAAAATAATAGATTGAAAGCTAAGTTCTATCGCAATATTCACAGTGTCAAACCATGTTTTTTTTTTAATTAAGTTGGGCAAGAGATCCACGACTTTATTAATTAGGATGAAAATAGGTCATACCTGTTCTCCAGCAACCCGTGCTATATTTAATATTGTAGATAGTGCCATATGTGAGTGTGGAACCGACATTGGAAATTTAAATCATATTTTTCTATCTTGTTCTGTCTACAATTACAATTGTATAATTCCTCAATATCCCTAAAATTCCCCTCCTCACTTGTGCGAGCCACCTTCGACTGACGCGCTTTATATTGGGGTTGTATGTTGAAGTGCAGGCTGGAGAAATAAAAATAGCCAGTCTTCTTATGAAATCCCCTTGTACTGCTCAGAAGAGTTTCTTCTCAATATCTCAATTGGAGAGGTCTTCTGGTCGCCTGATCATCCCGCCAACGGCATAGGCGGCATATATTTAAACCCCGCTCGGTTGCATGTTATCTATTACTAGCCCACGTTGGTGGGTTGGTGCGAGCGGGACGGAGCGAGTGTGAAAGGGAGGCGCGAACTATTCTGAGTAGCACTCTTGGGTGTCTATTTATTTTTCAATTAAATATAATATTCTTTAACACAAACTATTTGTCTATTATTAATCTTATTTCTACTATGGGCAGTAAAACACAATACAACGAATGGTTTATTACACTTACAAACTATGAGAAAGAACTTACTTAGATCTATTATTTACAACTAACTATAAAGCGTAACAATTGTAAGTATTAGTGACATAAATAACTATAGAATATCGCGAACACCACTAATATTAATGTATAATTAAACTATTGTAACTTATCAGTTTACAGAATCCTTTCTGATTTTATAGTAGGTAATGATATAAAGTTATGAATTATATATAATTGTACTTATATATTTATTCTGTTTAAATGAATCTATATATAAATGTATATTCATTTATTATATTATTTTTTTTTTTCTTTTAACTCTCCTGATCCTGTAATCCTATCCTAAAATTTTTTGCCACTATATTTCTGTTTTGATCCGCATCGATTTCCCTGCTTTATAATTAAATTTGAAAATGGCTAATGGCTACCCTAAAAAGCCTAAGCCAAAAGAAGAAAAAAAAGATAGCTAGATTAAAAATCTTTACTAGATAGGTACTTACATAACCACTAAATAAAAAGTACAGTAAAACGGGGTGAATAGAAACAATTTGAAACTGCAAATTTTTTAAATTTAATCTAATAATTTAATTTTGTTAATTTATATGTATGGGATAATAATGTTAGAATTTTGACTTTTTATTATTAACTAAATTGTTTGGGTTTCTTGATTCCTTTCAAGATGTGTTCCGAGAATTCCGAAGTTAGGTTGATAAGAAAAGAGAGAAAAATCAATAGAAAATTATCTAGGAATGTTTTGTAAAATATAGTTTTGGATGTGATGTGGTGTCAGTGGTTTCGATAGTAATTTGCTATGTAACTAAGTGAAATGTTTCAAGTATATTTACACGTAAAATGTGAAAATATAACTGTTTTCTCTGTTATTTATGTTACACTTAGGTATAGTACACTTAAATCTATCTAATTACATTCTCTTGAAACTAAATCCACTTCAATATGTAAAAATAATTAGAAATTATTATACTTCCGACAAAACAGCTTCGAGCCTATCTTGTGCAAATTATTATCCTATTAGCTCTCTCTCTCTCTCTCTCTAATAGTCAGGTTATTATATTTTCTATCTCGTACGTTGTCAATCTATATACTTTATCTTAGAGAAAAATATTTGACTTTCGGGTAAAACATAAAAATCGCACCTGGCAATCTTGTTCAGTGTGGTTAGCATGGGGAGATATAGGTATCTAAATTTACTTTTTAATATCGCGTCTCCTTTCATGTTTGTTAGTATTATAATAGGTAACACTATTCCTCGGCCGAAATAAAAAAAAAAAAAACATTATCAGATTCATTATTTTCTTTTACTATTATCATGTAAATTATAATTTTAATCCATTTTAATTTTATTTAGCCGGACTTGGATGTCATCACTGGTGTAGTAATTTGTTTTTTTTGGCGTTTACCAAGTTTATTTAGTTTCATTTCTTGTTATTTAATCGTTGACTTCTACTAATTTAAGTAGGAGCTATAACTTCGTTTGTATTTTTCTATTGTTTCTCAGATTGGCTACACTTTCTTAATGGAATCCAATATAGATCAAGTTTCTGAGTCTGGCGATGCGGAGGATATTCCCAGTGACTTTTTTGATGATTTTAGTAAAGATGATTTTATAGAGAGTTTGAGTGTGGTAGACAGTTGGTGTGATGATGATAATAATAAACATAATTCCCGTATTACCGCGGCCGAGTTGCAGAATGTCAAGGACCTAAGAGAGTTGATACGAGATGATGATCGGGGAAGAAAAGATAAAGGTTCAAGTTCAAAGTATAAAGATAGAAGTAAAGTACAAGAGTCATCTAAGAGAAAAAGGTCGTCACAACGAGACAGCTCAAGCCTTGATGAGTTTATTAAACCAGGGAGCCGCCGAGATCCCAGCAAAACTAGTGAAGCCATCAGGAAAGATAAGGAGGTGAAAGTGAAGGAATATTTGGATAAATTTTTGGAAGGAAATGATAACATTCGTCCTCCTGGAACAGAACTTGATGATTACTTTCTAGGAAAAAAAAGTAATGAAAAAAGAAGATCCACAGGTGTTGAAGATGTATTCAGTCAAAAGGAAGGCCCCCCTGGGGAATCTAGAATTAGAAGACGCAGCCCACATTGGAGTCCAAGGAGACCTGTTTCCCATCATCAGCAAAGTCCACGACGAAGTCCACGGAGGAGTCCACGAAGAAGCCCAAGAAGGAGTCCTCGACGCAGCCCTCGTTACAGCCCCAGGAGGAATATTGTTCCACACAGATTTAGTCCCTATCATTCAAAATTTAGGAGATATAGTCCAAGACAAAGAAGTCCTCGTAGACATAGCCCTTCACGTCATAGTCCACAATATCGTAGATACTCAAGATCACCTACTAGGCACACATATGGCAGAAGATCATATTCTAGATCTCCTGTTAGAAGAGATAATTTCTTGTATTCTGATGAGTCATATGTTAATTATCCTGCTCCTGATACACAATTTGTGGCTGATTCCTCACATTCACGTTATCCTGGATCTGTACCATCACATGATTATGAAGGTGAAGTACGACAGGTGTATCAGCAGGCACCATTTTATCCTACAGGCTATATTGGTACTGGTTATGAATATAATGTACAGCAAGTATCACCAGCTGTACAGCCACAGCCAGTTCCTGCTCCATTGCCAAATATGGGGCCTGCACCACCGCTGAATCCAGTTCCACCACTGCTGAATCAAATTTCATCACCTGCTATGGTGCCACCACCTTCACAGGCTATGTCTACTCCAGTAATGACCAGCACACCTGACCAAAGTATGGTAACACCATATGATGCTTTGGCACAAGTAAATATATTTATCTGTCAATCAATACATTTTCTTTCATTTATTGATCAAAATAATATTTTTATATTCATGTTTCAGTTAGTTGCAGAAGGAAAACTCTCCAAAGAAGACTATTTGAAACTTGCACCAAATAAAGGTAAGAAGTATTGTGCCTTCTATTTAACAGAATATTTATATTATAAAATAATTTTATTACCATTTGAGAGTTATTATTAATTTTTTATTTATTAATTATTACAGGTGTAGCAACCACTAGTATGGACTGCAAAGCAAGGGTTGAGGGTAGGTACAGAAATATTATTCAAATTATTAGCTTAGTATTTGGTGTGAGGAGTCTTATAAACCTATTCAATAAGTAATTATGTTAAAATGTATAAAAAAATCATTTTTCAAAGGTAATTGAAAAATGTTTTATCCAAAGATATATTTTACATTTTTAACTTTATATGAGTCATATAAATTATATAATATTGCCGTTTTAGTGTTTTCATACACTTGTTGCTGTATGATGATTCCATATTGAACTTAAGTGAAGTAAAAATGATCTGCTGTTATGACTAGATAAGTTACCCCAGCAAGTTTGATATCGCGTTTCTAATTTTATAATATACGTATAAAACATTATTGTGATTATTATAAGTAGTGTAAAATTACACTACAAACAATAAATGTTTTATTTTATTACGCTCTAGAATTTTAATATATATATAATATGTATAATATATTTTAATTTGTTTATTTTTAATTGTTAGATTATGTATACAACCTTGTAGTTACTTTATATTAATTTCACCGTAATACTAAAAGGGGTTGGGACTGTGGCTTCTTAACACAGGTTATTATATTAACCTATTTAGGAGCCCAGTTCTAAAACCACAACTACTTTACTCGTTTCAAATTATAATATTAATATTAGTAAATTTAAGAAACTACAGTTTTTACGAATAAATCTTATTTCATTTTAGTATGAAAATGTTACGCCGGGTACAGATAGGTGCAACGTCATATGAAATATATTATTTTGCCTTGTAATGCATATTTGCTACAGGCATGATCTGAACACAGCGCACTCGAATCGCGCATTTGCTACAAGCCTCACGCGTCTCGCCAATCTATCTCGAACACGATTCGTAGTCACTTATGCTCATCATTCCACATGGCGTCAGCTTGATCATGTGGTGTTCGTTGTGTGCACAAACGTGTCTCCGTATCGACCATCCACATTACTGCCATGCCTACACTGCAAAAACCGACAAATCACGGATAGCTCTGTGCGAGACTTGTAATGTATGTAGCGTTTGTAAGATGCACAGTTCGCGCGCGTGAGATGTTCAGATAAAAAAATTGCTACAGTGTTACTTTTCATGATATATTTCAACAAGTTGAACGTCAAATTCTTTCAATTTAACATTTAACCGATCTGTACCCGCCATAAGCAATCTAAGGTTTAAATTTGCAATAAATCTCAATTTGTCAAGGACCTTGGGTTGTACCTTTGTTTTATTAACATTGCCTGTGTTTATATATTGTATATTTGTTCCATATGTACATTAATTGTAATGCTTTTGTTAAATTCAGTTGTCAATAATTTTAGTAAGCATACTACAATTTTATTTGCAGTGTTGAATCGCTGCAATACAGCTTTAAGCAAGTTGGCCAACTTGGTTCTACCGAACCGCTTAGTGATGAATAAGAATATTACTCAAGGTCCTGAGCTCAAGTGTGTAACCACCAAGTTTTGTTCTCCATTGAAGAGGAAATCTGCTATAGAGTTCCACTACACGAAGGCAAGCGGATCGGCAACTGAACAACAGAACAAACAACTCGTCGATAGCATTATAGCAACTATAGGGTTGGATAAAGTCGTTGTGCGTCCTAAGAAGAAACCTTCAAAGAATCTGAAGGATGCTGCTGTTCAGACTATAAAACCGTATTGTGATTTTTGTGAAATTCGTGAATCTACACAGTTTAATGAAGTAGGTACCTCTATAGAGCAAGAGCATTTTTCTAAATCGGTGCACACTCAAGTTGTGGAACAAGACTTATTTAGTTCGAAAGCTGTTTTCAATGTAAGTGGCAGTGTTTCTGATAGTGCTCCGATATCCATTTCACATCTAACTCCAGCGCAGTTGGTGTCGCAGTTAGCAGCCCGTGCTAAAACATTGAAGCAGGCATCTGAACCCGTGCCGTCTTCCAGTCAGTTCGCGAGAAGGAATCCGCCGCCTAATAACTACGACTACGGTGGCAGAGGGGATCAACATTATTATAATAATAACAATTATAGATATTAATACCTAATCTTTCGTAGTATCAATGTTGTTTTGTCTTTGTTCATAGAAAAATAAATGATTTATTCATTTTTTAAGTCACAAAATTTTTCTATATAATAAAATTTAGGCAAGAAATATTTGTTTTATTTAATGTACCGAGCGTATAGTAGTGTGCAACAAGCAGACAATGTTTTTAAAGTATTCGTTACAAAATATTTTACTTGATTTTTCTTAATAATCTCCTGAGAAACTTATTTCATTCCAGATAAAACATTACAAAAATTTAATTAGGAATTAGTTTTTACAGTGATTTCCACCTTGACGACTATATTTTATAATATCTATAGATACAATTTTTGTTTGTTCTTTATTTTTGATACAAACTTTAAGTGGCGCGTAAAATTAGTATACATAATTGTATTAATATTAGACCAATTAGAAATTATGTAATAAATACTTTTAAGTTTTAATAAATGTTACTATTACTCCCAGTTTTACCTAACATCCAGAAGAAGCAGCAATTATCAAAACTAACACCGCATAAAGATCGAAATAGTCGACGTTTGTCTGGATAAAAAGTCCCAGGAGTCTGGCGAACAAAAAAGAAAAGTTCATACCACCTCCTTAGATAAGTAACAACCAAATTTATCGATATAATCGAACTTTGCGACATGTGGTAGTTTGTACTTTTTCGTGCAAGCACCAATTGTAACGATTCTATCGATAGATTCATTTGTCATTTGTAGGGAAGCAAGTTTTGAATGGTGCTTGAAGTCAAGATTTGGAAGAAAACCTTACACCTTATGGACTTCTCGTTCCTGCGCAAGAATTCTGGTGTGTGTAATGATTGCTATTCCAGGAAAACTTGGTTTCATTTTTGCCTTTTCTAAACAAATATCAATTATTGCATCAGCAAATGTCTACATACGTATAAGGAAAGTTGTTGAGCTCTATAGGATCAGGTAATGAATGATATGGGAATCCTATTGTGGATATACCTATTATTTCGTTTAATAAGTTTTGCGTAATTTATTTGATTGAATTTCAAACTTTTGTAAGAGAAAGTCAATTCCATTGACTTCCTCCGTTTGTGTCACCGCTGATATGTATTATGATTACACTTAAGTAAAACAATGAGCTTATTTTTTTTTTGTAGAAATGTCTAAATAAATAATTGCCTGCATTATTTTAGTATCATTATATTTTCATTGCTGTGATTCCGGTATAGAATAGGCTACCCCTTTCATTACAGCGGGTGTCGTAAGATGCGACTAAGGGAACTTAATGATCGAGGAATGGGCAACAGCGTTTTTTAAAACATCACCAAAGACTAACTGCAGTTGTCAACCCACCTGCCAAGCGTGACAACTATTGGCAAAATCCCTCTTATGGACCCCCATAAAGGGGCATATTCAACAGTGGACAGTTAACGACGAATATCATCATCATATTCTCTATTTTTTTTCGATCCAAATTTTCCCAACTACCTTAAGGCTGAATTTCGATTTCATGGGGACATTACGTTGTCTTCGGCCGTGCAGGATTCTTCTTCATATGCCTGCTCATCGTACTGGCTTCATTTCTTATTCCTTCACTGTTCAAGCTATTAAACATTGGAACATACTCCCAATTGACATAAGGTCTACCCTAAGCAAATTGCGCACCTATTTCTTAGAAAAATCACTTTTCCTTTAAGCTTTTCCTCTCTCTTCTATTGCAGTTGTTAGATATAGTAAAATTTTATGTATTTATTTAATGTATATACATATTTATTTAATATATTATGTGTATATTTATATTATATAAATGTATCAAATATTGCTTTATTTTATTGCTATTCAAAAATGCTCCGCCTACTCAAGTATTTCTCGCTTTGCCCAATGGTTGATTGGTAGAGAACACTGTCCGGTGTCAAATCCGCCAAATGTACATAGAATTTGACTGTGCATTAAAGTTTAAATAAATAAAGATGCACATTCCACCCATATATTATTATGGATGGATCACTTTCAACTGCCTCTATCTTAATTCTTAGTGAATAATAATGGAGTGGTAATCTTGCCTGCGTTATTGGCACATAGATGTTGGAATGAAAATAGAACAAAAACATATTTTAAAATATCTTGTCATAAGAAACAAACATGTAGAGACTACTACAACAAAGGTGCCCACAGTCACCTCATAACTTACGATTAATATGGTCATTCATAATGTGGTTTTCAAGGAGCTTCGTCCCGCAAACCCTCCCTTCAAAAAGGGCGTATTACGGTTTCTAAGGGTCGAAACAACGTGCGCATTATCCTTGGTGTTGCAGACGTCCATAGGCTACGGTAACCTCGTTTACCATCAAACGGGCCGTATACTTGTTTGGCAACATAGTAGTATAAAAAAAAACTACACGATATAAAATTGCCAATTTGAGTCTGTCGTCAGGGAAACAGCAACTGCTGCAATGTCAAGCGGTCAAGAGGTTAAATTCTTAAAGTAAGGCGACTTGATGAATGCTTACGACTATTTGTACTAACTACTGTACTTATTGTAAAAGTTTGTTCACACAACACGAAGTGCGACGCTATGGATTTACAATAGCCACGATCAGATAGCTCCGGGAGAGATTAATATTTGTATTTTTATAATGAATGACCATGTTAACTCACAGGAAACTAAGTTTCATAATAATTTTTAACTGAAAAGTTATCACTAGAGCGGAGGTGTAAAGTGGATGGTTCATATTGTGCATCGACTAAGGCAGTTCTCTAGGATAAGAGTAAACAAATATATCGATACATATAGCCAAACCGTTATCCTGTGGTTGAGATATGAGACAGTAATATAATTATGGCATCCTGTTTTATAAGCCATTTTTAAAGAGACTTCTTAATAGGCGCGCGTGCGCATAATTAACGTATACGTTAATAATATATACATGTGTATATATTATTTTAACAATTTTTTAAATATTTTGATGATTTTTTTATTTTCGTCTATGTTGTTCCTACATTCGTTGCGATTGAATTCACTATTTTTTTATATTTATTTGAAATTGTGATCTATACAAATTATTAGTATTTAACAGGTTTACTGTTTTTTAATCTACATGTTGCAAATCAAACCTTTCTCGCGGGAAAAATAGCTTATATAATATCTGAGATTTATAGTTGCTACATAGTATAGAGGAGTTGGTAAAATAGAAATAAATTGTTATCTACTTTATTTACTTAATTACTACATCCTAGAAATAGGGTTCCTGTAATAATAATAAATAAATAATTGTGGTGGGTAACTGATTCTTAATATTTCTTACTAAAATAATTATATGCATTTAATTACAGGCAATCTTTTATTCATCATCTAGGAAATCGTCGAGCCATTTTTCTAGATCTTCTGGAGATTGGATAACTGGATTCTTGGGCTGTTCAGTTTTTGTTGGAGTATTTTCAGCTTCTGTAAATATAATAATATAAAATATCAACCATTGTATCGGGATGGATGGATTTGCATGGTCTAGAGGCATAATTAAGATGTAGACTAATAATAATAATTCTAATAGCTTTGCAGAGAAGTGGTTAGAGGGGCGCTTTATTGGGATTCGCATTGGTAATTTAGTTAAAGGCTACTCATAGAGATTATGATTTTTCATTTTCATATGGAGCGCATCTAGCAGTGCCAGGGAATGAACAATGTAATGAAGAAAGGAAGAAGGATGATCATAAACAACATTAGTTAAATTATCCAACAATCTTAAAATAATTACAAGAGAATTTGTACAAAAGTCGTTTGCTTGGGTATCTCTGTCCTATTCGTGTTTCTACTGTGGACCAGTTGTGTTTGCATGGCTCTGTTTCAGTTTGAAGATATGGTAGTGAATTTACAGAGTACAGAGGTATAACACTACATCTTAGACTTAAGGAATGACAACGCAAGGGGGGTATCATGGGCGAAACAATACATTTTGTTATGTCCATGGTACTGTTTATGTCTACAGGCGACGGTTACCACTTACCATCAGGTGGATCGTCAGCTTGTTTGCCATTCTAAATTGTATTAAAAAAAACTGGATAAAAAAGGGTAAGAGTATTGTAATATTTACCAGAGGGAGACTGTACAAAAGTGATTTGCATGAGTACCTATTTTTATTGGGTGATAATAGAATGATAATCCCGCCTGCGATATCAGTATACACTGGCGGGGCATCAGTGAGTGATGATAGGTGAGGATGAAGTAGGTCAGTTGTAACGAATTTAACAAGAATTAGCCACGATAGTTTCCATGGGGACCCACATGGAGGTCGACCCGATAGGGTATATTGCTAGGAATGAGGCTGTCAAACCCCGTTACTAACAATTCTTTCCTCCCCTTGGGTACTTGTTTCACCTGTACTGTATGTATGACTGTATCGGTTTCAAGGGTGATATGGGAGTGAAATTACAGAGTTTTTCAAAATTCATGAGAGGTATCATGGGCATCACAGTGTATTCTATGATCTCCAAGGTGCTGTTTATGTATAGGCGATGGTTACTACTGTCTATTAGATAGGCCATCAACTTGTTTGCCATTCTAAGTACCATTAAAAAAAATAGATAATTGCAAGTTTCAAGCTATACGAGTGTAAAAATGATTTTAGACAAAATTAAGCAATTACTATAACAGTTATTATGTAGAATATCCACATAAAGAAGTACGTTTATAGTTACATACGGAGATTTAAATTTGGCTCATTGTAAAAAGAGTTACAAAATTCTCTTCTGAAGAGTTTTGCATGTATGGTTTGAAACCTGCCATAATAATATATGGACAATAATACAAATATCTATAATGATGTATGAAATTATTCAAAATAGGTATATAATTACCTTTAAGTATTTTAGATTCCAATTTAGGAATTTCAATTTCAGGGACATCTGTATTTCCTATCTCTTTATTGGGCAATTGTTTATCGGTACTATCTAAGATAAGGTCATCTATGTCATCTATTAATTGACTGGTATTTATTTTTTTATATTTTGTATTTAATGCTGCAGTATTAGGTTCAGGCGTAATATTTTCCATAATTTTTTCAGTACTTTCGTGGGTATTGGTATTTTCAGAATTAGAAGTACTTTGAGATTTTAATGTTAAATCGTCTCCAATTGCAGATGGTTTTAATTCTATAGTTGATTCCTCAGGAACATTTCGCACTACATCCGTTTTTCCCTCAAATTGTATGTCTTTGGAAATATTTATCTTTTCCTCAGACTGAAACATATCTTCTTTGATATTATTCAGTATTTTATCATGTGTTTCTAATTCTGGAGTTGTGTATGATTTGTCATTATAATACTTTTGTTTGTACTTAGTGGCTCTATTATTCATTGTTAATATTTCAGTGGCAGAAAATATATCTTGGTTTATATTATTTCTTTCGTAGAAAGGCAAAGTGGAGAGAGCAATTGCAAGGTCATTCATGTTTATTTCGAAATATTTATCATATATTGATGGTCCTGTATTTATATCCCAAGATTTCTCATGTTTAAATTGAAAATGACCGCCAATTGACAGTGGTGTCTCTATTAATTTCTGTAAAAAATATATTAATGAATATATTGTATAAACAATGTTTTTAATTAAATACTGATGATGATATATTGAAGATACTGAAATCTCCAAATTATAAAATATTAAAAATCTATATTAGGAAGTTCTAAATTTTCTAAGCTCTATATATTATTTACATTTAGTAGTGTTTATTTTACACAAGCATTAATATATAAAAATTCTATGCCATGATATTTGTTCATGCTAATCTTCAACAAAAAAAAAAAAAAAATTAATTGATATTACCGTTATATAATGGCATATTGCCCAGAATCCGCTGTTTCACTAAGGTATTATAAGGTAAACAAACAAACTTACTTTCCCATTTTGAACGGTGTGGACTGCCGTTCGGTGAGCGTGGACTGTAGGGGCGTTGGTTCAGGCTGGAGTGAAACACAGGGATTACTCTTCTGAAGCCTCCGGTACCGTCTGAAGAGAGTATTTTTCTTCTTGTCCTATTTCTTCTCGAGAGTGTAGTGCGTCGCTGCTCGGAAGCGAATGCCGCTCGACGAGAGGCGGCCTATCTTTATACCCGCCCGCTCGCATGATAACGTTTCCAACTCGCGTTAGCGAATCTGCGCGAGCGGGACGGGGCGAGAAAGAACGAGACGCGTGTCTCTTCAGATCGGTATTCTATAGCGTTTATTTATTGCAATTTACAAGTTCTTAATTCTATTTATTGTTACAATTTCTATTTCTATTCGTAGGTAATAATGACAACACGCAAAGGAATACTTTATTTAACTTACACTATCTTAAATCTATGTAAATCTATATAAAATAACAGAATACAAAACGATTAACTAGGACTTAACAACTATAAATTACGATATATACAAATAATGTCGCGAACATAATCTCCCGCCGCAGCTCTCGTAGCTGGAGTTAACTCGTGTTCGCGTCGCTCGAGGTCGATGTGGGCAGTATGATCAGCTTCTTAGTGGGTCGCCGTAGGATGCCCTTGTTCGTCCGCACGTCGACTGCTCGGATCTCGCCGTCTGGTCCAGGGTAGGTCGCCACCACCACGCCTCGCGGCCACGTGTTGCGAGGCAAGGTCCCATCAGCTATCAGGACCAGGTCGTCCATTTTGATGGCTCCGTGTGTAGAGGGCTTATATATAAGTACTCCTTCACCCACCGGTTCCAGAAGCAATCAGCTAGCCTCTGGCTGGCACGCCACTCCTTGTGTCCCGCCGCGTCGCTCTCGGTGAAGCTGCCTGGCAGTGGGACGCGCGATGGACCGCCCAATCTGAAGTGATTGGGGGTTAGGGCGCTGTCGTCGTCTGCCGATGTTGACACGTGGGTTAGCGGTCGACTATTGAGGGTGTGCTCGACCTCGACCAGCAGAGTGTGGAGGACTTCTTCCTTGGGGGCCCGCTCGTTCAACGTAGCGGCTAGTGCGGTCTTCACACTACGCACCAGCCGTTCCCACGCACCTCCCATGAAGGGTGCGCTCGGGGGAATGTAGCGCCACCGGATGAAATGGACTGATGACTCTTCTTGGATGGCTTCCTCGGCTGTTTTCTTCAGTTCGACGTCAGCACCTTTGAGGTTGGTGCCTTGGTCGGACCATAGCTCAGTGGGACAATCTGCGGCTTATGAAGCGCCGCAGGGCCATTATGGCGGAGTCCGTGCTGATGCCGGCGATTTCTAGGTGGACTGCGCGCGTCGTTTGAAGAGCACTCCGTACCGCTTCTGGTTGCGGCCCACTGTCACGGTCATAGGCCCGAAGTAGTCTAGGCCGGTGAACGTGAACGGTCGTTGATGATGCGCCAGCCTGCTCTGTGGATGGTTGCCCGTTGACGGCTGCGCCGGTCTTGCTCTTCGTAGGCGGCACAGCTGACACCTCTTCAGTTCACTGCGGACGGCGTGTCGTAGGCGCAACACCCACAAGTGTTGTCGCACCTCGTTCGTGGTGATCTCGAAGCCGCCGTGGTGAAGTTTCCGATGCACCCATGCGATGTATAGGCGCATCCAGGTGTGGTTTCCGTCGACGATGGGGGGCTCTCGTTGCTCGGCTGACAAATCGGCGGCGGCTGCTATTCTCGATCGAAGTCGCAGAATGTCGTCGTTGTCTATGACGACTGACAGCTGTATGAGTCGACTGGATGACGGCAGCTGTTTCCCTTGTTTCAATACTGCGATTTCGTCGCCGAACGCCTCTTGTTGTATCGCGCGAATCCATAGCCGTCGCGCGCGATCTAGGTAGTGTGTGTCTATGGGGATGAAACACACAGATGGACTATTGTTGTTCTTGATTTTCATCTTCGTCTTCTCTCTATCGACTTTCTTCGTGCGGGTCCAAGTGGGGTCGGCGCTCTCTTTCTTCTTGTTTCTCTTTCGGATAGCGGTACAGCGTTGACTGGTCGGTCGCAGGAGGTCGATGAACTGCAACACTCGTGCTGAACTGCGAACAAGTTTCAACCAATTAGAAAAACGTGACGGATCGGGTAATGCTATAGACAACTGCGTCGCGTTCTGTAGCTTGTGTACGCGTTCTTCTCCCGTTTCCGCTTGACTATAGTCGCTCGAACTATCTTCACGCGGCCACTGTTCTTCATTTTTATATACCGGTCGGAGACGTCGCATCGTCGAGTCGTAGTTGTCCGGCGGCACAGGGTCGTCCTTCTTCCATAATAACCCTGTCTCGTATATAACGGACGCGTTTTCTCTTCTAAAATGCGTAGGGCGCGACGTTCCTCTTCATTGTAAGACCTCTTCGGTGCGATCCCCAGCGATTCGAGCGCGAAATGTTGCTTCATCATTTCTTCCATTGATTGCTCCTCTTCATGTGTCGTCACTATGTGGCTGATTCTGTGCACCTGCTGTCTTGCCCTGCCGCGACTCGTACCGTGCAGTACCCATCCCAGATCGGTGAGTGATGCGACCGGCTGCGTGTCGGATCCTCTTCTGACTTCGTGGGCCAGCAGTAGGTGCCAGTTGTCTTGCCCCAGCAGTACCGTCGGTTTGCCCTCTTCATAGACCAGTTCCCTCTCTATGTCTCGTAGATGTGGACAGCCCTTGATGACGCTGCGCGGTACCGACTGCGGTGATAACTGCAGTCTGTCCATCGTCCGTGCCCCCACTGTGTATTCTTGCGAATTCCGCCCGCGGATCTTGAAGTGAACACGCGTCGATTGAGCTGCGTTGATCCGTGCCCCGGCCACACCTTCCATGTAGAAGGGTGCGGGGGGACCCGTAGCACCGATTCGCTCCGCCACCGCCGTCTCGATGATGGTGCAAGTCGACCCGTCGTCCAGTAGCGCGTAGGTGTCGCACGTTCCCATGGGACCGGTGACTCGTATTTTTGCCGATGCGGCGACTGCGGCGGACTTGTCCTCGACGACGTGCGTTGTTACTTCATTCTCCGGCTGTTGTCGCGTGGTGTGCAGCAGAGGGTGATGAGTCTGCGTGCACTCATCTACTCCACATCTCTTGCTCTTGCAGGCGTGGCGAAATCTTCTTACTTTGAGGCAGCGGAAACACAGCCTATGAGTCTTCGCTAACTCCCATCTCGCCGATGTGTCTGCGTCCTTCATCGTCTTGCAGTCCGATGGAGCGTGTCCCTCTCGTCGACACATCGGGCACGGTGGTGTAGCGGGTTTCTCCTGCGTCGTATATGTCTTCGCCGTCTTCCTAGGAGCGGACTCCCGCCGGTCTTCGGACGGTATCTCCTCGGCGGGGGCGAAGTTTCCACATTGTGCGGCGGTCCTTTGCAGGAACTGAGAGAGTGTTATGAGGTCCGGTTGTCCCTCCGGTTGGTCGTTGGCGAAATCGTAGTACTTGAAGCGTAGTACCGACGGCATCTTCTCTGTGACGTTTCTCACTATTTCTTCATTGTAGAGGTAGTGACTCTTGTTCAGCGCTCGTATCGTGGCGACGACGTTCTGCACCTTGCTTGCGAAGAGGCAGACGTCTCTTGCGTTGTCCGAGAGTCGTGGTAGCGCGCGGAGTTTGTTCAGTTCGGCTGTGACGAGTGCTCCAGGGCGGCCGAACCTCGCGGCTAACATCTTCATTACTTCTTCTGCGGTCGTAGACCCGACGAATAGGGAGCGTGCCGCGTCCTTTGCGGCCCCTTCAAGCTTCTGCGCAGTCTTGCTAGGTTCTCTTGTTCTGTGAGTTGACTTGCGCTCTCTTCATAGGCCATCTTCCATGGTAACCACTCGCTCGACGATCCATTGAAGACTGGCAACTCGGTGACTCTTGACGCTGTGGAAGTATGTTGCGAGCGGCCATCTGCATGGCGATCGCAAACTCATTACAATCGATGCCCACCTTCAGCACCGGTTCTTCTTTCTTCATCGACTGCATCGCTGCTGCTATCGTAGGAATCGCGGCATGTGGGTCAACGTGGCGTGCGTGGTCCCGGTGAAGTGCGTCGCTGCTCGGCTGTGGCGGCGGCGCTCTCGAATCCTCTTCAAGTCTCGATGGGACGAACCCCTGACGCTTGCCGGTGACTTCTTCTATCTCTGGTACATGCGGCTCCATTGTGAGTGCCAGCGTGCTTCGACGAACCCAATCCGACGTTCGTTCTCTTCTGACGGTAGCGTCGTCGTCTTCTACTTCCTCGTCGTCCTCTGATTCGGCTTCCAGGGCGGCGACACGTGCGGCAGCCAATTCCACCTCCTTTTAGCTCCTCCCGTGCCTTGGCCAGAGCCTTCTTCTTCTGCGAGGCCGTGGTGCGAACCGTGCGTGCCGTGCCGTGCTTCGGTTCCTTCTTCCTTGCTGTCTCCTCTGTCGTTCCTGTGGCTTCGGTAGTCTCCGTGGCTCCTGTGGTCGTCGTATCGCCGGACGTGTTCGTAGTCGATGTGGTGGCGGCGGTAGACGACGTGGCAGCGACAGAAGGCATTCTGACAGCCGCAGACGACGTGGTGGCAGCAACGGACGGCGTGGCAGCGACGGACAGCGTTCCGGCGGCCGTAGTCGACGTGGTGGCGGCGGACGTTGTGGCTTCGGTGACGGCGATTTTTTGTTTCTCGTAGTCGGCATTTCAGCGATCCGGCTTCAGAATGGTCTTCCTCCAGCGATCCGGCTTCTTGATGTACCAACGGTGTTCCTCCAGCAATCCGGCTTCTCGAAGGACCACGATGTGCGGTGTGGACTGCCGTTCGGTGAGCGTGGACTGTAGGGGCGTTGGTTCAGGCTGGAGTGAAACACAGGGATTACTCTTCTGAAGCCTCCGGTACCGTCTGAAGAGAGTATTTTTCTTCTTGTCCTATTTCTTCTCGAGAGTGTAGTGCGTCGCTGCTCGGAAGCGAATGCCGCTCGACGAGAGGCGGCCTATCTTTATACCCGCCCGCTCGCATGATAACGTTTCCAACTCGCGTTAGCGAATCTGCGCGAGCGGGACGGGGCGAGAAAGAACGAGACGCGTGTCTCTTCAGATCGGTATTCTATAGCGTTTATTTATTGCAATTTACAAGTTCTTAATTCTATTTATTGTTACAATTTCTATTTCTATTCGTAGGTAATAATGACAACACGCAAAGGAATACTTTATTTAACTTACACTATCTTAAATCTATGTAAATCTATATAAAATAACAGAATACAAAACGATTAACTAGGACTTAACAACTATAAATTACGATATATACAAATAATGTCGCGAACACATTTAAAATTTGTAAGGATAAGAATTACCTCATAATCAGCACCCATATTCTCCTGTTCTTCCACTTCATCATAAGTCTCAATTGGCATTTCATATTTAGCCCAATTGCTTTGGATTTCTTTACTTTTATACTTAGAATTTGCCTCTTCAGTAATTTTGAGAATTTCATCAGTTTCACGTTTTAGGTTTTTGTAGAATTCTGGTCCTGGATCTTCATAAACTGGCTTTTGTGGAACTGTAACTAAAGTATTATGATTATATATAGCTACTGAAAAGCAATTATATGTGGTGTATTAATAATTAAATTGCATTCCAAAAAAACTTACTTTAATTATGGTAAAACTAGTAAATATATGATTTAATAACTAAACTACTAAATCAATTTTGATAAAAATTCTATAGGACCAATCTATAAGCATGCCCTTTCAGATAAAAAAAAGAATTTTCCAAATCAGTTTACAACTAACGAAGTTATGAGGTAACAAACATAAAAAAAAATCCAACCAAATTGATAACTTTCTTCTTTTTGAAGCTGATTGTAAAATGTACAGAAAATATTTGGTGAAGCTATGTAGTGCTGGAAACTAAAAGTGAAAATATTGAATTTTTCCTATGCAGTTAGTTCCATCAGATAATAGGGTCCATCTTCTTTGTTTTTCATTTTACTTTGTATAACTGGACACATCACTCTCGGAAACGCTATGAGAACTAAAGTCTTTTCTAATTACATCTGTCTATCTAGTATTAATATTAAATAATTTTTTATATATCATGTACAGTACATTTTACAAATATAATGCAATTTATACTATTTACCTTAGATAATAAAGAATATTTTATTCTATAATACTTTGAGATCTACACCATACAGTAATAGCATAGTCTTAAGATTATTGTTACTTACACTGTGATATCTTTCTAGTAATTTATTCAAGTATCTAAGTAGATATTTTTGTAATAAATGCTTCAAAATATCTATAAAGTTTCTAGTTTCTTATTAATATTATATTTATTTATAATTAATGAACATACTTATAAATGAAGTAGTTTTCTAGCTATTTTTTCATATGCAAGATTTTCAGAAGTAGGAAAATCAATTTAATGGGCATTTCTGGATGATGTATCAAGATAAAAGTATATCAGATTTTAAATTAGACGTTTAGGAAAACAACTATGAAAACCACATTTGATTTGGAGTACTTTTATGTGATGCAGGAACAAACATACAGATATAGTTTCTGAAAATTATTGTTCTGGCCTCTATTGTCCTTATTAAAACTCCTCATATTAATTTTTCTTAAATATCTCTCATGTACAAACATCGTTTAGTTACAATTTCTTTATTAGATAAACATAATTTATATTAACCTTTAGTTCCTTCAGCTTTTTTTTCAAGTGGATCTTTATTATTTTCTACAGGGGTTGATTTCTTTTCCACATTTCCCACTTTTTGTCGCCCTTGGCGAGCTCGCCGTTGCTCCTTAGGTTCATTTTTGTTACCTTTTGACCTGAAAATTAATTCAAATTAAGAAATTAGATTTTAATAAGAAATATCAAAAATTATTTGTTCATATTAATTAAATTAGCAAAAAATATAGCACTCACTGGTTTTTCCTATCTTCTGGCATATTTTAGCCCCTATTTATACAAGTATCAACTCAATATAGGGACCAAATCACCAGAAATTGGGAACAACGAACATGTAGGTGTTGAGACAAAACCAAGTACAGCTCTTCAGCTGTGATTTTTATATATTAACTGTGAAATATAAAGTAAATTATTAGAATTGTATTTAGAAATATAAATAATAAAATGTCAATAAAATGCATACCAGATGCTTGGTTTGGTTACGGATACAGCAATAAAAATAGAAAATATTGATAGTTGACAGTGACAAGACTGTAATTGACGGATAATATTTTTTTTTTATAATGATTGCCCAATTTGTGGACAGACTAAAATCATTTAGGCCATACCGCCCTGTCGACAGATGATAATAGGTATAGTGATTTTTTTTTCGTACCGATTTTGCTGTTGGCCGCAGATGACTAGGTATAGTGATGTTGTCATGGACTGAGAATTATCTATGGCATTATCTTTATAGTTAAAATGTTTACATTGACCCACTAATAATAGTTTCTTTTTTTTCTTATTGACTAGCTGTACCTATGATTTTCTTAGCGTGTTTTTTTAATAACCTATCATCACAATTACTTTAGTACAGTTTTTTGTTTATACTTTTTAAATTTTACGCCATCTGTTGTTTAGTAGAGTACTTACTTTTTTTATGGGTGAAAATGAAATAGTAACCCCGCCGGCGTTATCGGTATACACCGACGAGGCACTTGTGGAAGATGATAGGTGAGAATGAAAGCAGATCAGTTGATCCCACCATGATAAATTCGACAACAATTAACCATGATAGTTTATAGGGGGAACCGCGTGGAGGTCGACCTGAGAGAATATATTGCTAGCAATGGGGCTATTAGACCACATTACTAACAATCCCTTTTCCCCGAGTACTTACTATTAGGTTCTTTTTTAATTGATGATAATGGAATGGTAATCCCGTCTGCGCTAACGCTATACGTTGGCGGGACACCAGTGAGAGATGATAGGTGAGAATGAAAAGGCAGGTCAGTTAGCTCATCGTGATGAATATACCTGGAATTTAGCTCAATGGTTTTCGAGGGCGACCATGTGGACCATTTATCTCACTGGTGTCCACCAGCGTAGGTATACCGTTAACACAGGCAGAGTTATAATTTCATTATTGGTAATATACAATATTAATAAAATATATATCAGGGCAACTTTACAATTCGACAATTTCTGCTGAATTCGTCATGACGGGCACATCCTCACATCCATTCATCTATCCCTCGCCTGCGTACTCGAACAGGGATGAAAATTTTATTTAAATTAAAGTAATTAAATTAGAAATGACTGTTGTTTAGGCATAAGAATAAATTAAGATACGTGTTTGAGTAAATTCATTAGATACTTACAATTATATTTGTAAAGAGCGAGTTTGGGTGTCTGCCTCATCATCTTTTCTTGATGCCTCTATTTTATTACGGTCTGGAACTTATAATATTAATAAACTTATATAAGTTATTATTCTTGACACAAATATCTATGGAATAAATTACTGAAAGTTTTTTTAAGTGATAAAGAAACCATAGCTTTGATGTTTTATGTGGGTGGATCGTACGACCGTGGGTGACCCTTTCATAGAGTGGGATAAGTACGTATTTGTTTCTTTTACATTGTTGATCCAGCTGCTCTGTGGACCGGATATGGAAACAATAGGAAAAAACAGGGGTGGTATTAATAAACATGTACAATTTTTGATAATCGTTCACACATTAGCTTTTTTTTTCAAATTGACGATTTTGGTGGTGTAACAGTTTAACACTGCCTCTCATTACGATACAAAGATTTTTATTCACAAATATGTCTTTTTTGTATAAATAGACATACTTGTGAATAAAAAAATTGTTTGGGGGTTTTTTTTTGTATATATTTACTTTTTATATACAACTTAGAAGGGCAAACAAGCTGACGGCCTACCTGATGGAAAATGGTAACCGTCGCCTATAGACATGTGTAGTACGATGGACATGACAGAGTACTGTTTCGCCCATGACACCCCCCCCCCCCCAGGCGTGGGGTGGGGGGGAAAGGGATTGTTAGTAATGGAGACTAAGACTCCCATTGCTTGCAATATACCCAACCAGATCGACCTCTACCTAACCCAACCTCCTCGCGGTTCCCCCTGGAAACTATCATGGTTAATTCCTGATGAATTAGTCATGATAGGCTAACTGGCCTGTTTTCATTCTCATTTATCACCCTTCACTGGTGCTCCGCCAGCGTATCCCGTTAGCGCAGGCCATAAAAAAAAAAACCCACCCTTCAAACCGAAAATGACATGTAAACACAACTGCTTCACGGTAGAAACACGAATGGGACAGAGGTATAGGTATACTTTTAGGTATTTACAAAAAAGTATTTAAAGTTGTCAAGTACAATAATAATAAGATATATATAGGCGAATAATTTATGAATTTATAAACAAGACAAAAATTTGAAGGCGATTTTATATGCTGCAACGGTGAAAAGGTAACCAACCCAGCATTAAATTGCGAGGTACCCGCAGCGCTGATATTCTCTTCTTACAAATTCTGCTTAGCATGTGACTAAATAACGCTAATATATAGTAATATACAATATAATGTATGAGACTACAAACGGTTGTATTAAATTTGAAATAAATAAATTATCATCAGTTCAGCCGTTAACTGTCCACTGCTGAAATAAGCCTTCCCCATAAGTAAGTATCAAGTCATCCAATATAATTCTTATATATTTATACATTACATCTCTGTGCATACATGTGTCTGTGACTTATGTATTTAGGGCCTACTGAAAATCAGTGTCGTAGTTTCAGATTTGAGATGGACATATGCTGAGATCACATGGTCAAATAAATTATAAACTATATACATTCATTTTGTTTTTTATATATTTTTCTTTTATTCAAAATTAAAAGTAAAATAGTAATGTTTTTATATAATTGTGTAATCTTTATTATTATGTTGTTTTGTCAGATGTAATATGTATAATTTATATTATTTTCTTAAGAGCAATTGTATTTAACTAATGATATCATTTACATGAAAGATTTGTTTAGTGTATGTGTGTAAATAAATAAATAAATAAGAGGAGTTTTGCCAGTAGTTGCCACGCTTGCCATCGCAGTTAGGTTTTTAGAGATGTTTTAATAGGGACTTTGTGTCCATCCCTCTCTAATTAAATTCCTTTAATGCTTCTTACGACACACACATCTATGATAGATGGAATCCGTAGACAGGACCACAGGTCATATAAACTTCAATTTTTCTGTATAATGTTAATATGTCTAGCGTTATTCTTTATATATTCTATATGTTGATAGTATTTAGCCATGTTTGCAAATAGAAGACACGGCCACATTAAATACGAACGTGACTCACGTTTACATCGAAAATGAGATATTACACTAAAGAAGTTAATAAGAGTTTTATTGTTTTATTATCTGCGAATTTTGTATTCGAAATATACGCAATCTAAAAAAAGTATTTCCTCCGATGTTTATCTACATAATTAAAAAAATTCATATTTATCTTATATGAGTTAAATAGTTAGGTCTCTTGGATATTAGTAGTCATAAAGTTTGGATACTTTGTTTTATCTCATTAATTAACTTCCCTATAATGAAAGGGGATATTAATGTATGATAATGGAATCCGTAGGCGCAAAGATTTTGGAACTTAAATTTTTCTGTTAACGTAATATTTCCAAACAATTACGAAAATTTTAATGTTTATTCAGTGTTTGCAAGCAAATGCTCACGTGCATATGGTATTATCGTAGTGCTGCAAACGTTCATAAGTCGAATAGGCTATATAGTAACCGTTTTACGTTAGGTTTTTTTTTATATAACTTAAAATGGCAAACAAGATGACCCACCTGATGGAAAGTGGAAACCGTCGTCTATAGACATGAGCAGTACCATGGACATAACAGAGTATACTGTTTCGCCCATGATACCCCCCATGTGTTGCCATTCCTGAGGACTCAGGTGTTATTCCTCTGTACCCAGTAACGCCATATTCAAACCGAAACACAGCCATACAAACACAACTGCTTCACGGTTGAAACTCGAATGGGACAGAGACATTTATAGTTACTCATAGTACAAACTTTGCTTAGTATGAGACTAGGTAGTGATGTGTAATATATCCAATGGTATTACATCAGTAGACCAGTAGTTGTCACGCTTAGCAGGCGAATTGGCAACTGCAGTTAGATTTTAGAGATGTTTTAAGAGGGACGCTCCTGCCGATCCCTCTTTAATGGTATTTATTTTTATTTATTAATTCGAAAGACGGTATCGACTCGGTGGGGGGGGGGGATTGAGTAATGAGGCTAGCAATATACCCAACCATGTCGCCTTCCTCGCGGTTCTCCCTGGAAACAATCATGGTTAATTCCTGATGAATTCACTATGATGGGTTAACTGGTCTGTTTTCATTCTCATCTATCACCCTTCACTGGTGTTCCGCCAGCGTATCCCGTTAGTGCAGGCGGAGTTACTATACCATTTTTACCCATCAAAAAAAAATGCTAAATGAAATATTCACCACAACGGTAACAGTCGACAAGTAGCTCTGACTACCCTATCAGAAATTATAATCAGTTAATTATTTTTTAAATTATATCATTGACATTCCAAAAATGAGATTAGTCATTTTGGTATAATAAATTACTATAATATTTTTTGGATACAATAAACAAGGAAGTCTGATTACCGTACGTCAGGCGTCAGGCGCACAGGGGTGACGCATCGCGCGTGCGTTACATAGGGGCTGGCGCAGTCGCCATGCGCCCGTCCTCAAAACAACATGGCGTGCCGCGTCCCTCAAGGACATATTTGACAGCCCCGCGGAAGATATCGCCAGCTGTTGGTGCGATACGAGGCGTCGGAAATTTAAAACAATAAATTAATTCGGATACGTTTTTTCGTGAATTGTGTCAATCAGTGCTGTGTAAAGGAGTGTGTGTTTACTTATTGGAATACCGGCGCCCTATACGCCCCGATTGTTTCCATAAGGTATGTACAAAACAATAATAAAGCGAAACCTTCCGAGTTGGTCCATTGAATCGTAAAACGTTTCGAATGGGATGTATTTATATTTAAATGTAATTGTTTATTTAAAGATTGGAAGAATGTCTTTTCGTACTGAAGTTCTGATTTGTAGATTTGCGGGTCTACCATGAAATGAAATTCCGAAATTTCGGACTCAATTTCGTGTTTTTGTTTATACCAAAATCGGACCAATAAATGGAGTTTAACATTTCGTTCGTCATACTTCCTATCACAAAAGTCCAAAGGAACAATATTTTTAATATTTTCAAACGGAATATTATTATGTA